GTTTATCTGGGAGTTTTAGTCACTTTTGTATAATTTTAGATAGTTGTACTGTACATCAGAAAACAACTGGGGGTTATGTGAGGACTCAAACATTTTGGTCCACATGAGACAAGTCTAGACTAGTTATATGCAATGAATTTCTAGCTATGTTTTGGTTTAAATTACATTGGTTCTTTGCTAAATAGATGTAAGACTACATTTAATCCAGAAGTAGTGAATATTAGGGAACAATCAAAGCCCAGTTAGCTCTAAAAAATAACACACATTGGAAGCTTTATAGGTACTTTCTAATTGCTGTGACTTGTGTTTGAACATGAGCTACTGGGATGCCAGGTGGCACAAAATGGAGTTTCATAATGAAAGATAGTGAAAGATTTTAACAGTGCATGTTTCTAAATGTACAGAATACAGTTTATTACTGTACATTGAAGATGAAAAGTCGGTGACACTTTATTTGACAGGGTGTGCACAACACTGACATGACATGAAGAAGTTTTGTTATGACTGTTGTTATGAAGTGTCATTCGGTAAATAAAGACACCTTTAATGCAAAGCTGACAATTTTAATGGACTTTTAATACAAGTTTTAACTTATCTTTGCATTAAAAGTGTCATTATTGACTGAATAATGCACAGTTTTAGTCTTCCATTAAAACTGTCATTACCTACCAAGTGACATTTGATTACTAGAGTAGTAGACATTCATAAACATGACAAGTTTCATGTCATGTTTACGACAGTGTCATGTCAGGTTTATGCACACCTGTTCAAATAAAGTGTTACCGATAATCCTTTATAGGGGACATAATGTCTTGAGCTATTTTTTATATAAATAAAACTGTATAAGATAAATTATTGTCTTTCATCAACAGCATGCTGTGTAGTTTTTCCCCTGTAAAGTTTTGGTCTCCTAAAATCTTACCAGATCTGCACTGGTCTACAAATGCAGTCGCCTCTGCTGTAAAACAGCGCCGTGTTTATTTCTGTTGTGTCAAGCAAGTAGGACAGTTTTTGCATCATCCTTCTGAGAGAGACTGATTTTCAACTGCTACATGGGAACTTTTGTTGAATAGATAATCTGGATCTGCAACTCAATTATTAATCTGCAGAAGAGTACCAGTAAGACACGTCTGATGTCTGCCTCAAAGAGACAGAGAAAAACCCGCTGGGATCCAAACAACACAGCTCCAGCTGATCATAACCTATATATTGTAATGTCTGCAGGAGTCTGCATGCGTGTGTGTAGTCACACGAGTTCTCACTTTCTGTATTTAGAAGTTAATGTTTGACATTTTCAAAAAAAAAAAAAAAAACCCTTTCATTATTTAGTGGGAGTCTTGTGAGAAGATATGAATCGGCTCGCCTGAGCTCTTAGTGCTTCAATCACCAAACTTTTAGATATAAACTAATTTAGCTTTGGCAGAAACTGCCTGAAACTTAGCTATTGTTAAATCCTGGAACTGCACATGTAAAATGAGGCGTGACTCTAATACTGCATGGCCTAGTTTAGAAACAAATGTTGGGTGGATAATTGTTAAAAAAGAAAAGACTACTTTGACCAGCCTTTTTTTTTTTTTTTTTGTTAAGATTTGAAAATTACAAGGAAATACCATCATAGGGGCATGCTGATTTGGCAATATAAGGAAAGGAAAAGTAAAATAGGGCAGCATTTTACTGTAATAAATGCGGAGGATACATTAGGTATGGTGAAACTTACTAAACATAATAAATATCTTGAAATAATTCATCCGTGCTGCGTAGCAAAGCCGGCCAGTCTGTAGCTGTGTGCTCTGAAGTCGTCTTTCTTTGGAAATAGTTCTTTCATCGAGTTAGTAAATGATTACAGACCTTGTCCTAACAATAAATTGTTCCAATAAAATGCATGGCTGTTTTTCCGTAATTAGCTATAAACCATGTTGTTTTACAAAATAGACAAAATAACCTTCAAGACAAAGCTTCGGTAACTCATGCTAGACTAAACCTTTAGCTGTCAGTTTTATCCAATCATGTGGTTTTCATTATGTGAACTCAAATTATGTCCATTTAAAGGCCTGTGATCGTATTTAAGGATCTACCAGGAAAGTTCTACTTGATTTTGCTTTTAATGCCACACTGCTGCAGGTTCTGAATTAGGACTGTGTAGAAAAACAACAAAACACAGCACAACAAAAAAAAAACATACGTGTTTCAATTAATGAAAAAATTAATTGGATGAAATGACTTAAAACATGCTGTTACTAAAGAAACTGTCTGGCTTTGTCTCAGCTTTTCTAAGACATGACAACACATTGGAATATATTCTCTCCATTCAGGAACAGTTGATCAAAGCTGCAGCTTTCTCACTTTTGCGGTGCCGGTTTCTGTGTTCAGGGTTTTCTCTATCATATATTTGCAATTGTTATTCAGCCTCTCGGTGAGTAATTTGCATCCGACATTTGGAAATGCTAGAATGGAAATATAACTTGCGTGCCAAGCCCCCAGAACCTTAAAAATCCATCTTAAAGAGGCAATTACTGATTAATCATCAGATTGTTGCCTGGAGTTTGGAAATGAGATGTCAAGAAAAAATAAAATAAAAATCAGGCATAGATAATACGTGATTTTTTTTTTTTTTTTTTTTTTAGGGTTATGATTTAATGCATTTTCCCAGCAACTATAAACTCTGACTAGGTCATAATTCTTTCATTTACTGCTGGTAAAATAATTGCTGAAACAAAGCAAGATTACAACCCAGATTACGAGTTGACAGACTCCCTGTTGCTCCAGTAAGAGACTCCTCAAGATGGGCCCACAGGGTTTTCATCTGACGTCATTTTGTTTTTCTGCATTCCCCCCTTTTTCTCAAGAGTCTTCAGCAGTAAATAAATAAATACATAAAAAACTGTGTGGGCTGCTTCTGTCTGTGTCTTGTTTGGTTCTGTTTGCACACAGACAGCGTGATACTCAAAACAACATCTGCAAATGTAGGCAGACCGAGGCGACTCTGCACACAAAGCTCTGTCCCCTGGACTCAAACAGTCACTCAGCCCGGCAGAGGGCCTCAGCTATACCCACTTATGGTGGTGAGAGTGTAAACAAACACCTGGGCTTTTCCCCCAGTCACCACAACCCCCTCAGTTAACACACACACACTCACACACACACACACACACGATCTGCCGCAGCTGCTGCTTCTGGTGCAGGTTACTGAGTGACTCTTGGTTTGGTTGACTGAAATTTCTTGTCAGCTGCTCTTTAGCTGATTTTCAGCCGTCTGGATGTTCTTCAGGTACCGAAAATGAAAAGAAGAAGAAGAAGAAGAAGAAAAGAAAGATGGTTCAGTATTAAAATGAACTGCTGTTGAAAATGTCCAGTGCCTTCTAAAAACAGCTCGTTCCTGATGACTGATTAATCGACAACAAGAAAAAAAGAAAAAAAAACTCAAATTCTCAAGCTGAGCTTTTACACGACGACAGTGACGTACTGACTTTTTTTTTTTTTTTTGTCTTTTCACTTTTCAATTCGTCTGGCCAAGAAATTTGTATATATATATATAAATCTCTTTAGAGATCAAACGGAGCAAAGGAATAATCTGTCCTCATGTGTCCTTAGAGAGAAAACTGGAAAACATGGACGAGGAGAACACATGAAGGGGAGGTTTGGAGGAAGGAAAAAAAAAATGGAACACATGGTTTCAATTCCCCCGTTCTCTACTCCTCATCAAATCTGCGCGATCTTAATTAGGACATTAAGCGTCTCCTTTCCTGCACACTTTTTTCCATCCCGTCAGCCTTTAGTGACGTGCAGGAACAACACCGACTTCAAAAGCAGCAACGTGGGCTTGTTATCGGACAGCGCTTGTTAAAAAGGGAGCGAGCGATGCCTCCCATTTGCCTCGGCCTGAGCCACGGCGCCTTTATCTCCTTCACGTCATCGAGCTCAAGAGTAGGTAGATTACTGGAAGCAGAAATAATGGCTGCTGTGTTTATCGTGGCTTGGACAATGTCCGTTTGGGCTCTGAACCAAAGATAATCTGTCAACCTGCTGCGAGGAAGGCCGCCTGAAATCTGGGAGTAAAATGCAACAGAAGAGGGAGCAAACAGAGGCCAGCTGGAGTTTACAGTCGGAGTCTGCAGCCAAAACTTTTATGTCTGAAAAATCCCAATTAGAGCAAGAAGCAAATTAACACATAGTTTTCTTGAAAATAAAATGAAGGGATTGAAAGCACGGCAAAAAAAAAAAAATGTTTTATTTTCTTTTCTTTTCTTACGGACCGGCTTGGACAAAGTTCATTGCAGATGGAACATTTTGTTTTCGGTCAATCAGGTTTGACCGAAATATATATATATATATATATATATATATATATATATATATATATATATATATATATATATATATATATATATATATATATTTGTGTTTTTACAAAGTTGATCATTGTCTTTTATATTTACTAATATAAATAAGCCTTTAAGTTGGCAGAAAAAGATGATGCAAAGCATCTGATTCACAAAATCTGAGTGAACTGGAAGCACACCTGCATTTTCGAGAAAAACACAAGCCCTTTGCTTCCTTGTATCAAAAAAAAAAAAAAAAAAAAACAGTCATGATATCAGCAGAATTATTGACCACCAAAAGTCTGGTTCGTTCTCCAAATGCCTCAAAGTTCGACGTTCATCTGCTGTTCCGGATCATGACGTTCTTTGCGCTAGAGATCGACCTATTGCAGTACAAAACGTGCAAATCATCCTCTGTCCACAACCAAAAGCCCCGTAAAAATTCTCTCAAAAGCTCGTAAGAAAGTAACATTTTACAGTAAAATAATAAAAAAAAGCATTTCATTTAAAAAAGATGAACAATTCTAGTTTAGAAATGCAGGCAGCGGCAAATATTTTTGGAGATACGTTCTTTTTGTACGGTGAAACTAAAATTTCGGTGTTTGGCTATAACAACTATTGTTACATGTGGAGGAAAAAGCAGGACTCCTGGAGGTCGAAGGACATCATGCAAGATATTCTGTACAAAGGCAGTGACATCATGTTGCGGGACACTGGAGAGACACTTCATAGAGAAAGTTGGCATCTTGTGGAAATACTGAAGCAACATCTTAAGACATCAACCACCAAGTTGAAGCTTGAGCACAAATTGGTCAAAGATTGAGCATCTCATCAAACCGGTTACCTTAAGGACCAGTGATTCTGGGATTTAGCTGTTAGAAATGACTTTGGTGATCATACTTGACGTCTAAAAGGGAAAGTTTGTTTGATTTAAAGTTAGACAGTAGGATAAAACCAGTGTGCAGATTTACAGGTGAATGTCGAGCGTGCGCACTGTAAATTGGAAAGCAACACATTCCTTCATCCATTTACATTCTCCCCACCAACACATTCTTACCCTGCAGATAAATGTTATTTCTAGCAGACGGGCTTTCAGCGTATGCATACTGGAATGTCTATTATGTTTTTACAATGTTTGCAGACGTCCCACTGAGACAGTTAAATTACTGTAACTGCAGCTCTAACTCTGTATCTGCTCCAGTTCTTCAACGATCAAAGCAGAGTGACTTGACACTTGACTGACGGACTGTGCGAGTGAAAACAGCCAGCCTCCTTATTTACATTTTGTGCTGGAGGCTCGGTGTCAGAACTCAAGGTTGTTCTGCTGCATTAGCAGAACGGCAAGAGCGTCTGCCAGTTCTTCAACTTTCATTAAAGCTAAAACTTTTAGGCCAAACGCTCTGCGCCCGACGCAGACTCTTGCTCCCCTGACAATAATGTTCCAACTGTTCACCCGCCAAACTATCTAACTATTTTATATTCCACACCTGTGATGTATTAGATGCAGTGGTCCGGCCTGACCATGCAAACACAACAGTACACTCCTTGTTAGAGCCCCAGGTCCATTATAGTGGGTGGGTTTGGCCCGAAAGTCTTCCAGAAACACTTTATCAGGAGGAGATAGACACACTGCGGGCCTTTGTGCTCCCTGTGACACAACACTCTAACGGCAGGCATTTCCTTCTCTCAGGAGGAATGTTTTACAACATTTAGGGTGAGGTATTTTAATTGAAACCACCTACAGCCTGACAGTAGCCTCAGCAGAGACACATGGAAAAGTGTCGAGGCTCCCTGCGGTGTCAACATCCCTCTTTCAAAACGCGTGACACTTGCCGTTTGATTTATGTTTTAAAGCAACGCTTGTGACGGTTTCCATCTATCTGCAAGTTCGTGGCTTGCTGTTGGTTGCTCATGTGGCTGAAGTTGCTTTGCCATAAATGACAAATAGAGCGGGCATGTCTGCTAATGAGACATTCATAACAAAGCCAGCACCAGCGAATGCTTCAGATTTGCTTGGATGTTTATTCTCATCGTTTTCATGTTAATGCCTGCATTAATTACACTAATTAATTGGTGTTTTCTTGGAACATCTGTAAATGTCCAGCAGTGCTGGAGTCCCAGTTAGTTTACTTGACAGCTTCTGCGGTTAGTTATCAAAGCATGACTACTAAGTGGCATCATTTTTGCTCTTTTAGCTCATCCACAGACGGCCTGATGTAACATGCTCTGCTTCTACTGATCCATTTGGTTTTGTTGTTAATTTGATATTTAAACATTTACACCAAAACCTTGTATTATGGTATTCATTACATGAAGTTTCATTTTATTCAGTGTTGTCAAATTTGTCCTCTATACTCTCAGTCATAATTCATTCCAAAAGTATTCATAGTTTTCTTTACAACAGCTATTCTCTTAAACTACCAATTTAAATTTATTTTGTTGGGATTTTATGTGATAGAAAAATACAGCCTGAGCTGAACTAGAAATGTTTGTGTCCAAGGGAATTCTTATGTGAAAATGACCCTGTCAAATTATACGCCTAAGTCCAATTCAAGCACTACTGCAAAACGTCGTTGTTCTAGGAGAGCTTGGACTAATGTGCTAACAAGAACGGACTAATGTGCTAACAAGAACGGACAAAAACTGCAGTCTTCAGATGTGCAAAGCTGGTTGGGACGGACACAAAAGAGCAAACCCAAAAGTTACCAAAGCAGGGAAAGAAGTAGTGACTCACTGAGGCTAAATTCAAATACATGATACTTTTTATTGTAAAAAACTTTGGAAAACAACCATAATTTTCTTTCCAATTGGGCCATGTGCACTAAAGAAGTTCATAGATAGTAGCTAAATCTCTGTTGTATGATAATATGCAGTAGAGTAAATAAAGATTTGTTTGATGTGTGTGTAATCTTCTTTTCTGCAGTTGTGGGAGGCCGTACATCAGACTGACCCACGGAGAGGGCTCTATCGATAAGGGAGAGAGGATACCGCGAACAGGTAGGGGCACAACAGCATCAGCATCTTTCCTGTGTCACATAAAGGAGATACAGGCATTTTTACAACAATCGTGGAAAACCCAAGCAAATTCCTTTTGTTGTTGTTTAATGAGAAAATGTGCCTTCATTTCTGACATCTACAACAATTCATGTTTCTGTATAAGTTGTTTTCTTTAACATTTAGTCTTTTATTATGAGAAAGGTATTTCAAGCCAATTGAGTTCTTCAAATTTAAGAGATTTGAAATAAAATGACTTCCTGCTTTGTTGGTATATTTTAAAGAACTGAACAAGATGCTCAATATAAACACGACCCGGAATAGTAGTCAATAGAAAATGTCTCAGATCTGTCTGAGTGCATTTTAAGAGTAAAATCCCCATTGAAATGTCTTAGAGAAATACTAATATGTCTTAATCGTTACTAAACAACAGTCTAATCAAGTGTGGATATAAATGCTGTTCAGTTAGCTTTATTTGTTTTCATGGCTCTAGTTCATAACAAATGTCATCTCAAAGCACAAGATAAGCAGATCCAATAGGCCCAAGTTCAGTTTAAATCAAACTTATTCAAATAAAGTTGAATTATCTAGTTCAGAGTCAGATTAGATACACACCAATACAGGCCAGTTCGGCCGGTTACGTAATGCCAGCTGACGAACAGAGATCTCTGTGAGGAAGGTGAGTTGATCACAGCGAGTCACGGGTCTTGCAGCAATCCGACATCTCTTTGTTTTTCTGTATTGACAGAGGACTCTGTCGTTGTGTCATCAGACTATGACAGCACCCATGAAGCCAACCACAGTGACAGCAGTGATGTAGCACAAACAGAGGAGGACTCAGAAAAGGGAAAAAAGTCCTCCCCGAACGTCATCCTCCATGCACTAATGCCTCCTGAGGTGAGTCAAGGCACGCACGTTCAAAAACATCTCTCGGATGCCGTACGATGCGGAAACGCAGTGGGAAAGAAAGAAGTCTGCACGCCCCTGTAAAAATGGCAGCTAAAACATGTGGTGTTGATTTTAAGAGCTTCTTAAGTTCTCTTTAGACTTCCTGCACTTTTACAAACGTCTTCTTCCATCTGAAGAACGGCATCGCCGTCCACCGCTGTCTTTTGGATGTGGTGAAGTTTTGGTGATGCGCTGTGGCCACATGTTCCAGTTTGGTTTTATTAGACCATACAATTGTCTTCCGTTTGGCTTGGGGATTTTTCTGCCAGATCTGTAAGTTCTTTTGAGAAGGAAGGGGATCTGCCTGTCAACACGACTCCTGAGTCCAAACACATGAAAATTACAGGAGACTGATGTCGCCAGTAAACAGGAGCAACCAGAAAATCCTGCAGTTTCTTCCATTCTGTCAGAGTCTTGAAGGTTCCCCACATCAGATTATGTTTAGTCTACAAATGATGGAGAAAAGTCCAGTTATATAATAGTAATGCTACTGTTCCACATATGTTCTCCAATTATTGTCTTCAATGTACCGTGATAGACATAAAATGCTGTGATTTGCTGCTTTGTACAGTGAAAGACATGTGATGCATGTTATTACAACTTTTTTTAAAGGTGTTTCCCTTTATTAGATGTTTGTTTTTATTTATACACTGAAGTTGAACAACACAAAAATGATTTTACCATAAATGTGCATATTTTTCAGATCCAGTGTACATGCATATGGTTTGTGCCATTCAGAAATGTATTCCTTAAAACATTTACATTATGTGTTTTTTGTGCAGGACAAACCCATTCTGGCACAAGAGCCATTAGTAATGGAAGAGCTGGAGCCTTTAATGAGTCAATTAAATAATTGGAACTTTCCTATTTTCACTCTAATGGAGAAGACAAATGGAAAATGTGGGAGGATCCTCAGTCAGGTGAGAACATTAAAAAAACACGAAGAAGTGAGATCCAACATGAATTACTGCAATCCTCACTTCTCATTAGGGACATGAACAAAACTCCAACACAGTTAAAGACTTTATTTTCTTCTTCATTAAGAACCAACACAGTTTCACTCCTCCAGCGTTTCTGACTCAGAATCAAAAAACAAGAGCACTTAAGACAAATGAAAAGCGCAGCCTCGTTAATAAATAAGAACATGTTTATAGGACATCAGATGAACACTAAATCCCACAGATCCGCAGTTGTTGTTCTCTCACGGTGATGTACGAGGAGAAAACGTCTTTCTCCAAATGAACAACTGTTGGCTTGGGGTTTGTCATTGAAAGCAGTGTGTCTGGGATCGCTCTGAAGGGGTCTGCATCATGTAAAGGTCTCTGGGTGATTTGTAAGGGAGAGGAAAGCAATTTTCTTCATAAGGAAACTTTGCCGAACAACAATTTAGGAGTAGCTGTACATTTTTAAGAGCCAGCATTGGTCAGATGAGACCGAGATGCATTTGTGACGTGTGCAAACCTAACTGGTGCACTGCAGTAAACGTGTGTTCCTCTCAGCCATCCGCAAAGGTGGGAGTGTAATTATATTTTCATATTTGACTGTTTCTGTCCCAAAGGCTCCCAAGAGCGAAAACTACCACGAGATAATGACCAAGAACACCCCCCCCCCCACACACACACACACACACACACACACACACACACACACACACACACACACACACACACACACACACAAATACTTTCTGATGTTTCAGCTGAATACTTTGTAGAAAACAATAGAATAGACAAGAATAGAATAGAAAATATCTGTATTTTTCACCAGAGATTAAATATATATATATATGTTGTTGACTCACAGAGATACAGTGAAGATTAATAACAATTTATAAAAGGGTTATGACCAAAAAGGCAAAAATGTAAGGTTACAAAAGTGAGCCAAAGTAACATAAGACAGATAAATGAAGTGAGTCATGTAGTGGTTCAACAGCTATGACACAATTGACTGCAATGGGATTTTAGCAGATATTGTAATAAACTTTATTTGTCTCATTTTCTGAGGGTGGTTTTCACAGAACATTTTGTGCTGCAGGTGTCTTACAGGCTCTTTGAGGACACTGGCCTGTTCGAGACCTTTAAGATCCCCGTCAAAGAGTTCATGAACTACTTCCATGCTCTGGAGAGCGGCTACAGAGACATACCATGTAAGCTTAAACGTCTCTCAGCTGGTCGTGGTTTCACTCACACTGTTTTCCTGTCAGCTGTTGTTGCAGATGTAAAAAACAAATCAGCCACTAGATGAAAATGCACTCCCTCCAGTTTTTTTCATTCTACGGTGTACAGTACAAAACAAGAGTTTGCCTTTGTGTTGCTGTGAGAAACCTGAACGGCTCAACAGTGCGCCCTGGTGGAAAGCGTTTTAATTTGGAAAATATGCTTTCTCCTCTGGATCAGATCACAACAGGATCCACGCCACAGATGTGCTTCATGCGGTCTGGTACCTCACCACGCAGCCTGTGCCTGGTCTACCCAGCCTCATTAATGATCACAGCTCAGCCAGTGACTCGGGTATGCACCATTTTATCAGTACCTATAAGTGCAAAGAAAGAACATGAGCTTCTTCTTTTTTTTAATGTAATTATAAGTTTTGTATTGGATAAGAAATTTCGGGTATAAAAGGTTTTTCGGAAGGTTGTTCCATGTGCCTTGATCCTCCCTGTAAGCCATCTCATCAGTGTGAGAACATCCAGCTTTCGTCAAGCTTTTGGCACATGTTTTTCTGTATTTGAAGTCTAGGACAGCATGAAATTGCTGGCAAATTACGAGTTCCCTCTCACCAATATTTCAAAAACCTTGTTTGTATGCCTCACCAGGACCATCCCTTTGATCCACACATAAGTCGATTAAAACATCCGTGTGTGTATCTGTGCATATGCGCTCCGCCGTGCATTACTGGCGCATGTAGATGGACCTAAAGTGTGAGTGTTGTGTGTAAATTCTGCCATCCTGATCCGAAACCCCCTCGCTTTGTCTCTTCCCTGTGGTCAGACTCTGACAGTGGGATAACACACAGTCACATGGGCTTCCTGGTTTCAAAGACCTACACTGTGTCAGAAGACGGATATGGCTGCCTGTCTGGCCTCATCCCCGCTCTGGAGCTGATGGCGCTTTACGTAGCTGCTGCAATGCACGACTACGATCATCCTGGGAGAACGAATGCTTTCCTCGTGGCCACCAGCGCCCCTCAGGTACTTTGTTCCCAAAGTCCACCAGAACCACGCTCTCATTTGAATCGGAGAAATGTGGAAATTTGTTCGTCCGACTTTTCTGACATCTTCATCATCAGAAAGGTCAGGCAAACATTTTTGCTGGTGAGCTGTAAAGAAAAGCAGATTCAAACAGTCAGCTCTTCACGCCGTCAAGTGTGCAGATTTACTGGAGTCTCTGCCTGGCCCTGCAATTGTTTCATTTTGTTTTTCAGAAAAGCGTGTTTTCTTTTCTAAGAAGCTATCAGTTGCTGTTGACATGAGTTTGGGCTGTCCCCAAATAATTCACCTCTTTAACATATTTTACTGTTTATTTTTTATTGCCTCATAGCCTCTGCTGCCTAAAACTCATTACATCACTCCCTCCGCTTTTCTGCTTTCCTCAGTTTGTGCAACTAATTTAAGCCCAGAGCCACACCTTTGGAAAAATAAATCCACAGCTTACAGCAAACACCAAAACATGGGGCAATTTATTTACATAAGTTATAATGTCGTAACTTTCAAGTAACAGTGTCCTAAACGACTCACCTCTCTGTAAATCCTGATGTAAAAGTCTGATCAGGTTTTCCAAGAACTACAAACTAAATCAATGTTTAACCAACTGCTGTGTCAACATTCTTGATAGCAGAGCAATAAAAATGTGACATGAAAACATAAATGAGAAGAAGTAGATATTAGCCTGACCTAGAGATAATGGTATATCTTTATTGTGTATTGATATACCTCCAGCTCTATCACTTCCATAGATTTTTCATTTGAACTGAGGCCTCAAAACATCTTAGATGGACCCACTTTTGAGTGTAAGGTTTGAAAGGTCTTAAATGTGCATACTTGCTCATTTATTTCCTCTTCCAAGAAAGTGTTTTCCTTTGTTTTTGAGAAATACTTTGGAAACATTCATGGGTTCCATGTGCTACAGTTCTGGCTGAAGACGTTAACCATCACAGACGATGTCGTCCAGTAGCCAGTCCTGCTGGAAGGAATTGAAAGCCACACATTCTGGCTCATTGTGAAAACCTAAAACAGTGTTCGCCCCAAAATGTCCTTGTTACATAGTTACATACCAGACACTTTTTTTCTGCCAGTAGTGATGCAGCTTTAGTTTAGCTCCTTTTTGTGAAAATTTTCCTACTACTGCAACTTTCACAATATTAGCAATTTATTAATCACATTTATTCAATAGTGTGATTGATATAATAAATGCATCTGTTTGCATAAGGTGGCTTTTGTATGAACAAGAAGCCCCCCCAAAAAAAAAAAAAACCTGTGTGATCTATAACGCAAACAATTCGATCAGGTTTTCCAACACATATAAAAAGGATCAACGCTTTTAACTCACCGCTGGGCCTGCTTTCTTGATGTTAGGACAGTAAAACCTCTTGTGAAAACAAATGAGTCAAAAAGTTTGTTGGGCGAAGTTCCAGGAAAAAGCAACAGTCTCAGGGCCGGGAATAGAGAACAGCTCCTCCCCCTTCAGCCCTCCACATGAAGAGCTTTGATCTAATCTGTGTAACCCTCTCATCTCTAGAGGCCCCGCATTTGGGGGGTAAAATCTCCCGGAATGGTTCCAGGAGATTTTAGGGAGCAACATTGAAGCCCTGCTTGTACACACTCATGCAGCGAGTTTGGCTGTTTGCAGGCAGTGCTCTACAACGATCGCTCGGTCCTGGAAAATCACCACGCCGCCTCTGCCTGGAACCTCTTCATGTCACACCCAGACTACAACTTCCTGGTCAACCTGGACCACGTGGAGTTCAAACGCTTCAGGTTCCTGGTCATCGAGGCCATCCTGGCAACAGACCTCAAGAAGCACTTTGACTTCCTGGCTGAGTTCAATGCCAAGGTACTGCGAAAGATAAACTCTTAAATGATTTTCATTAAGTATGAAATGAAATGGAATACGTATTATTTTTCTGGAAAATCTTATTACAGCAATAAACTCTATATCTACATTTAGGTATATCTAAAAAAGATTTAACATACACTACTTTAGGTAATTTATTGCAAGGAACAAACTTTCATTAGTTTAAACTGCTGTTGTCTGAGCCACTTGAATATTTTTTTCTCATTATTCCTAAGTTTGTTTGTTTTTTTAAATACTGGAAGTAGTCTGTGAAGAGAGGAAAGTATTACACATTTCTAACATTTCACACGCTGCCCAGGAAATTCTTTATTTTTAGATGTGAGAAAAACCGACCGGCCTTTAATTGTTCCCCCAGGTGGGCGATGATCCGTCAACGGGTATCGACTGGTCTAATGAGAACGACAGGCTACTGGTGTGCCAGATGTGCATTAAGCTGGCAGACATCAACGGGCCTTTAAAGTGCAAGGACCTGCATCTGCAGTGGACCGAGGGCATTGTCAATGAGTTCTATGAACAGGTGGGTCAACGCTCAGCGGGGCTGCGATGCTTGTGGGAACGAAGCGATTAAAAACGCCACTGCAGCACTGTGTGCCACAATGCCGCTTTGCAAAATCAATCTTCAATTTATCCTATTTGAGTTTTTAAGTGATAGATCAACAAAACTTTATATGTGGCTGTTAAGGGAAAATAAAGCTAAATTGTAAGAGAACGTACAAGAATTTCTTCTTTTTTTTATGTTCTCAAACAGATGACCTGATTACAAAATACCAGATTCAGGCAAAAGAAACACCTTTCTATTTTTCTTTCTTTAAACACAACAAAAAACCATGAAACTAATACTTGCAGTAGGTAAAGTAAAAATGATTTATGTGACAGCATGATTAAGTCCTTCAAATGCCACATGACAGCAGGATCAGCAGGTGGTGTTAGGATAACAAAGCTTGTGCATAAACAAGAAGACGCTTGACTTTAACATTTGGGTGCCATCTGCTCTTAGGGCACCCAAATGGCTAGCAACGGCCCTGGATACAAATGAGATTGTTGCTTCAAAGAGCAATTTTTTTGTCCACCCATGTTGACAGCTCCTTTGTATTTTTTCAGATTTAAAAAAAATACAAAATTTTTTTTGACAACTCAAACTGTAGGAGTTTTGCATAAAAGTCTGTCTGTACGGTAATTATGGCCTCATTTTGAATGGAGTTGCAGTAACAAACATAACCTAGTTATGACCACAGCTTATTTCCACTCGCAATTGTTTGTTAGGATGGTATGCACTATTGGCACTGAATTCCTCCTGTCTCTGTTAATTGCTCAGGCACTGCTGCTTTAATACGACGGTTTAGTGCCTACATACTGACTGGACCGCCACGCAGGGCAAAGGTCAAACAGGAGAAAAGCCTTTCTGTGACAAAAGGTTTGAATGCTTCCAGGAGAAGTGATGCATGAAGGCGGTGTCTTCCAGGCAGCTGACAGAGATGGCTGAGTGCACTTCACAGTCTCCAACATTATCTGCCTTCCTCAAAATGTTTAAAATTTTTTATTTATTTGTTTCCTGGACATGCCTTATCAACTGAGGTGTCATTAATCATGAGCTCTTTTAGTTTCCTGAAGATGTTTTAAAGTTTCTCTTGCTGCTTTGTCCTTGTTCCCGAGCATGTCAGTATATCACACACTTAAAAATCTGAATGTGGAGCTGCAGTGAGTCCCTGCGGGTCTCCTATGCAGAGACAATTTGTCCTTGACTCAGGTGACCGTTGCTCAGGTCTTTGCTGCATGACCCTTCACTGTGTGCCTCCTTTGCTGTCTGATTCTTACGGTGGCCCTGAGGTGCAAACCACCTCAGCAAATTGAAAGCACAATTACAAATGACAAAAGCGCTACGACATGAACGAAAGAACGTAAAGGACGTAAAAAAAAAAAAAAAGAAGCCTGAAATGAATTCAGGTGATGTTGTGCTGATTTTTCTAATCCAATCTTACATTTTATACATTGAGTTGGGGATGGAAAAAAATCCAACACTAAAATAATTTGACCCATTTTTTTTGCCACATTTCTTCAGGCATTTGCTACAAAACAAATTAAAATTGAAGGCAAAGTTTAAAAGAAGATTCAGGACGTTCTGCAGACTTGGTCATATTTCAGGTTTCAGTGAAATGCAGGCTTGCATCATCCACCAAAGCCACTTATCTTTAAGCCAGAGTAACTTCCTGTTCAAAAGTAATAACGAGCTGTAGTCCAATCAGCGAATTCTTACATCCTCCACTGGGACAAACCTCTTCCATTTCCTTCATGTTGGAGCGCTTGCGTAATTTGTAATATTGCTTTCAATTTGCTGAAGTGGTTTTCACCTCAGGGCCACCGTAGATTATAAAAAAAAGCCCATTAGCGACACTAAAGTAAGAAAAATATCAGAAGATAGGATATTTTATTCTTCATGTAATCATCATCATAGGTCAGTCCTTCACCCAATATCTCTTTTGTTATGTTCTGTTATTGCATGAAAAGGACAGAAGAAGACTCAGCATCCCACTGAAAATTGGTTCTTTGCTAAATTGCCTATTTTTTATTGGCGTAAACTGATTAATTCTTTGATAATTTGTTCTGTTTTAATTTAGATAAGAAACAGTCAAAAACTATATTTCATTCTGCTGGACCATGAATAGCATAATCCAAAGGTGACAAGTTAGGAAAGCCAGAAAACCTGAAAGGAGATGTTTTCACTTTTGTCTCTGTAGATGTCATGGAAATCACACTTTTTGTTGGGTTCTTAATTAATTTCAGAGATATTTGAAAAAGTTTGCAAAAGTACCAAAACAAAAACTATAAGTTGCTTCTGTTCATTGTTCAGTAGAAGTAACTAAGCAAATTTAGCATCTGGTACATGATAATCAGTCATGTTCATTGAATTAGGATCTGCAGATGAGGCCCATTTGTCAAATTAAAAGTACCTTTTAAAAAATAAAACATAGCCTACTTTTTATTAAGCTCATGTTTCTGTATCGAATATGTTTCCTTAATCGTAGGATGCAATAATCTAAAATTAAATGTCATGTTTTCATTGAACCTTAAGCGGAAATGTCATCACAATTAACAGGAATAAAGACTTTTAAACGCCTGCTTGTGTTTTCTGAAAGAAAGGAACTTAATCAGGAATATTTTATTTTATTGAATGGGTCTACAGATGACCAATCAGAATCAGCTAATGCTGTAACTCAGTAAATGTTCTTCCTTTTGGTTTGCATCATTTTGTGATAATGGCTCATTCTGTATGTAGGGCGATGAGGAGTCCAGCCTGGGGCTTCCTGTCAGCCCCTTCATGGATCGAGCAGCGCCGCAGCTGGCCAAGCTTCAGGAATCGTTCATCACGCACATCGTCGGACCGCTCTGCAACTCCTACGACTCGGCTGGCCTCATACCCGGACGGTGGGTGGAGCCAGAGCCTGAGGAGGAGGAGCCAGAGATCGCTGAAAGCGAGGAGGCAGATGAAGACGGATCCACCTGCTCTGACGCGTCGCGTAAGTACGAGGGTCCGAACCAGAGTGAAAACAAGACACCACTGGAACCTTAAAACAATCATGAACCTTAAAACTGTCTTTTTTTTTTCTTTTAGAAAATCATTTTCTCGGTATGCAAATTAACTTGCTCAATTTTTGTTCTTGACCTTCAGATTTATTTATCCAGCACAATTGATATTTATTCAACCAATCTCAGCAAATAAAACCTCCTTCGGTAATTTGTAACATATAAAGAAGTATTTAATATAACCTTTGTTAGAATTGACCCTCTTTCATTCTGCTAAGACTGAAAGATTCTGATAACTCAGTTGCAGTAGCACTGATTGATAATATTTATTCCCAGAAGACAGCTGTAATTGGCAACAAGCAGAAAGCCTTGACTTGACCTATGTCCATCAGGTAGCTAAGTGCAATTTACTAGACATATAATCTCTCCTCTATGCAACACGGATTGTTTGGATTGTCATTTGTTACTAGAGATTCATCTGAGTCAGCACACCCAGCTGGATTGCACTTCATTATGCTCCCATTTTGCTCCTGCTGATCATGTTTTCATTTTTTATGTCTTATCTTTTGTATTTTTAGGGCAAAAGTAAAAAAAAAAAAAAAAAAAATTAAGAAATTAGAAAAATACACGTATTTTTCTAGTAGTGTATTTTAGTGGCTGGACGTCTAACTAAAAATTGCTTCCCTAACTAAAATGTCTTATGTGTGCACGCAGAAGATTGGAACTGCTCTTAAACATAAGAGCCTTTCTTTGTAAATATTTGATAGGTCAGAGTTATGCAATATAAAAGTTTTTATTTTAAAAGTAAATCTCATCTCATTCTGTTTCAGTGAATAATGGCTGACAATAATGAGTTACTGAGGAAACCAAGAAACTTGCAAAAGATGATTTTCACTACACAGGAATATCAACTAAGCTCATTTAAGACCTTAAGAGAGTTTTAGACCTAAGTTAGAGACTTTTAAGAGACTTATTAGTTTAACAAACACATCTCTCAAAAATGTCACATGCAGAACTAAAAGTTAGGAAGAAATGCAAAGACAATTAACCATCCAAGCGCCATAAACCCCAGAGAATTATTGCTAAAGATCCCTCTAATAAGATCTTAAAGATGGATCGCTCTCATCTTTTGTACTGTATTCTGTTTAGAAATACCTGATTGTTGATTTTGTAGCACATTTACAGTTAGAGCACCAGTTTGTCCCCTTTACAACACAGAGCCAGAACTTTTTATCACATTTTGCTTCTTTTTTAAAAAAAAAAAAAGATTTATGAGATGGGTCAGAACAAGGGAGCCTATGATTGCAAAGTGGGGGGAAAAAAACAACATGTTTTCCAATTTTTTTTAAACAGATGCCAGTCTGAAAAAAGTCGCCTGGAAATTTATCCGCACAATCTCCAAGCCGATAAGCTGCAGACATAATTCAGTAACTACGGCTGCAATCTGGGCTGGACATTTGAAAGTGTCTAAGAAACAGTAGCCTTGATTTTCAAAGATTTTTCTTTAAAAAAAATAAATAAATAAAAGAAAACATTGCAAACATTGTACTTTATTTATAACTCATTGATAATGCTACAAAATTGGCCCTGAGCCCAAATCCTTTATTTTTTTCAAACTATAAATGAGACTGTTTATAACTTTATTCACGCTTATTGATTTATTTACTCAGGGGGGTTGAATACATAAACATGTCACAAAAACCCAGTTACTTTCACTTACCAATAATTTTGACCAATAAGTTAATGTTGGTCTGCAACATCAATATATATCCTTTATAAGAGGCATGTTGGTTATCATAAGAAAAAAGCAAAAATAACACTAAATAAATTACTTTCCTTTTTTTTTCATCCAGAAAAAGCAGCTCCCAAGAAAAGGAGGAAAGCATTCTGCCAGATCACGCAGCACCTGCTGGAAAATCACAAGATGTGGAAGAAAGTGATAGAAGACGAAGCGCAGAATGAGGAGCAGGGAACGGAGTCCGCCCACTTAAACAAAGTCACTGAGCCGATTCTGGCCATTGACGAAGAAGAGGAGGAGTCGGGCAGCAGGGAAGAGCCGGTGGAAGGAGAGCATTGTGAGGAGGAGACGGAGAAAGCCGAGTGGCCCGTTTCTGACAGGGACGACTCTCAGACTCCAGAACCGCAGTGAAACCTCTAAACACCCTCAGATAGAGACGCAGCATCAGTCAGGATAAGGATGTAAAGAAATTTTCCTTTTGACCTCATCCTGCTGACTCCTGTTTCTGCCAGCACATTACTTAGACACAACACTGTAGATGTTTGGGAAACGCGTGCCTACACAGAAAAAAAAAACAACAAAAAAACAAAAAAAACAGGGTGGGAAATCTTGTGCTTTACATATTTAATCTGAATATGTGGTTTTACCAAACATTTATATGGGTTTTTCTTTTCTCACATTGCAATAATGCATTATTCATGGACTTAGGGATACAGACTATTTTGCTACTGTCAGGAGTTGAAGACAAACAGTTGCATAGGTTTTAACAAAGCGTGGTAACACAGGACTGCAGAAATCTGCTGCCTCTTTATACAAAAATGATTTCCCGAATGTGATTATATATAAACATCACCATCACATGCTTGTGTTTTGATTGTAGCTCATCTTTTTTGGTTTAAGCTGTGCTAGTTTATGTCTTTTTATTTTTTTATTTTTTTTATATCCACACATAAATTGTAAAGGGACCGATTCACACACTAGGAATAATCTTCTTCCTTTCACCTCTTGACAGAAATAATCCCTCACTTGTGGGTTTTAGCACCCAAAGTCAAATATTTATGAATATGATGTTTGATCTTTATTGCCAAATGAGGTATTTAATGCCGTCATGTGGAGATACGTCTCAGAAACGCAGAGGCAGCTCTGAACTGTCTCTATGCGTCTGCATTTGGGAGTTCCTCAGTTTTTACTCTAATGTACACATTTGTTCTCCAGAAGGCAGAAGGGCGAAAAACATAAGTCAAATGATTTTCATTTTTAAAATGTAAACCTGATGTCAAAGACACAACCGTTTTACAGCATTGCCTGTCAAAAGTACTCATACGCCTCTATCTGCTTCCGATCACAATGACAAACTCGCTTCAGTCAGACCAAAGTTAAACTGCAATTAAACGTGTTAAGCACTATTTGAGAGAGAAAAAAGTAATGCTGCAATGCCAGCCTGAATCCCATCCGCACAGCGCGACAAATAACGGTGGCAGCATCATGCTGTGAGCCGTTTTATTCATGAAAAGATGAATAGCCAAGCAGTATTCTTGAGATCGGGACTAAACCGTTACAATCGAGCCAGAGCCAGACTGAAATGGTTTCACTCAAACACATCCGAACCAAAAATCCCAAGAGAATATCTGACGAGACTCAAACGTTGCTGTTCATGGATGTTCTTTGACCCACCGGATGGAGAAAGAGGAATTGGAGAAGGAGATTCTACAAAACATGGACTGGAATTCAAAACAGGTTAACTTTACATTTTTACTCATTTTTAATTATGCAAAAAAAAAAAGAAAATTTAGTGAAATTTGTGGCCATAATTAATATATTCAATCTTAACCATAGAAGAAAAATTCTGCACAATTCTACACATTCCTGAAAACAAGACAGTAACTGTATGCCAAAAATAACATTTTCTACTGATTTTCTTTTTCCTGTAGAAAAAATATTCTTTTTTGTTTTTTTTTTATTTTAGAAAAAAAAAATTACAGAATAACAATCTCTTAATGAAGTGAGTCATCACAAACAAGATCTAAATTCAGTTAAATTGTTGCCAAAAATTAATAATCCTGGGGGGATTTTTTACCAAACCGGTCCAGAGCTGGAACCAGCTTCAATTCCAGACAACCAGCTTCGTTCTGCTTAGTTATGTCACAAAAAAAATCTGTAGAGGGCCACAGTACAGCGAGTAATTTAAACTATGCTAGTCATAATTTATCTCTGTACCCCTGCAATTAAATGCCCGATGTCCTACATTGTTTTTAAACAAGTCATGTAGTTGCGAACTGTGTTTGACAGTCATTGAATTTGCACACGACTCATCAAAAACGACCTTTTGTAAGTCACACACAACATAGATCAGCAGATTGTGAAACCGTGTTTGCCAGTGCAAATAGCGATGGTGAGCAAAACGCAAGCGTTGCGTCGACTCACATGTGACTCCATGATGCGTGACAGCAAAACTAAAAGCTGAAAAATGAGAACGAGTGACTCCAGGTGTTCAAATGCTTGTTCAGTCTTAGATCCATGTCAAAAGTTTAGATCTGACACCTGAGGTAAGTTTGGAGTTTTTACTTGGCCCGATTAAGTGTAAGTTCAAGTGTCAGTTATCGTCGACGGCGCCAGAGCTTTGGAGCTGGACACAGAAAGAGTCGGTGCTGAGTGAGCGCCGGGACCACTGTGGTGGAAAACAAGCTGGAGCTAAAGTTCATAGTAAAACGGTACTCAGCCGACACGGTCATTCTGCTGAACTGCTGTTCAGAAATGGCTCAGCATTTTTTGGGAAGTCATCTGGTGGCCAAACTCGAGCAGGAGAACATAAAGTTCTTAAATTCTTCATTTAAAACTTAAAAGCCAACACAAGGATTGAAGGTTTTATGGGAGCTGTCACTTTTTATTTCATTAGAGATGTTTACACTTTTTGAATGGGAGCTCTTTGAAGTCTGTCAGATTTCACTTACAGGTACTTTTTGCTTCATCCATCTTTTAGATAAATTATGTAATCGGAATCAAGGTGCTGAATTTTATAAAAAATAAAAAAAACATGAAATGTAAATCTAACAGACACTGGTTGTTACCCTCAGGAAAACTACATCTGTATCACATTTAAAGACGAACACAAACGTGCGTTTGTTCCGAAACACGACTTTGAAGGGCAGAGAACAACTAAAGACACTCACCGTGTCTTTGTGCAGCGAAGCTGTTTGATTCTCCTCAGGGACTCGTTCGTTCACCTACAGTTCACAGCAGACGGCATGCTGACACACACAGGCTGGTCAGAGCTTCGCAGCAAACATACGCAGCAAAGTTTTAATTCTACTTCAAGTTAATGACATCTACTGTGGTGTCTTATTCAGGAGAGAGCTCAGACAAAGCCAAGAAATCTCATACACTCCATGTAGTCTCTTAAAATAGAACTGAAGCTTCATTAGAAACCGCTCTAACTTGTGGAGAGATGTTTGGTCAGCATGGTTATCTGACTTTTAGTTTTGGTACCACCAATGTAGTGAGTTGTTTTCATTGTCTAAGCTCGCCTGGTTCTGTTGCTCAAACCCCCCAATAAATGTCAGGTGTTCGTATTACCTCAAGCATTAGGTGTAAAACATTATTTAGTTGCAGTGATGATCACGGATGCTTCTCTTGCCTCTGCTAGGATACATGTGTATTGGGAGAAATGGTTTCCCTCCATTAGCTGTAAGGGGTTAAAATTATTGAAGTGAAGTTGTGTTAAAAGGCTATAGTCAGTTAAAATAATCACTTTTAGTACAAAGTTTTTTATAGAAATAGTTAAAAGTCATTTAAAGACAATGGACAATCTGCTTTGGCCTTTTCCTCTCTAACATCCATTGATCTGGATTTATGATCAACGAATACATCAGGTAACACTTTACCCTTTTAACAGAACCTCATGCAAAAGAAATCCCCAGCGATCCTTTTGAGAAAATTTGACAAAAAAAAAAAAACAATACGTTCATAAATGTAAGTGTTGCTCCTTGAACATAAATTTTGGAAACATTTCAATCAATTTATTATTATTATTTATTTTATTTTTTTCCAAGAAGGAGCCACAACAAACCTCTTTAATGAAAGAAAAACTGGTGTTTAGGGGTCAAAACTGTGCTGCGTTTACATTGTGTGGAAGATTTATAGCTGTAATCTGGGTGCAAAACATTTTAAAGCTGAATGGAAAAACATTTGGTAACACTTTATTTGAAGGGGTGTGCATAAGACTCACATGCCATAAATATGACATAACATCTTAAACATGAAGGAGCTGTCATGAAGGGTCTTTCGGTAAATAATGGCACTTTTAAAGCAACGTTGCTTTACAAGTAGCATTAAAAGTCCATTAGAAGTGCCAACTTTGCAATATTTGGTAAATAATAACACTTTAATGCAATTATGGCAGTTTTAAAGCAACTTAGCATTAAAAGTGTCATCATTTACTTCATGACTGCAGTCACAGACATTCATAAAGACTCTGTCATGTTCATAACAGTTTACGTTTATGACGTTGTCATGTCAGTCTTACGCACAACCCGTCAAACAAAGCGTTACCAAAGATTCATAGAATACCTCTCTGTTGATTTTATGCTTATTTGTTTGGCTTTAGACATGTTTTCTTTCTGTGAGGGAACAGAAACAGTACGAGTTTTATAAAGATGGTCGACTCCATCTCCTGCTAAGTGCTTCGCTCTTTTTCAGGGGGTGTAACATAAGCGTCACATCAAGTGGGTTTGCGAGTCTCAATACCACAAATGCCAACCTTTTGTAATGCAGTGCTTCAAAATGCCTATTAAATTTGTGCATTCCCTGGTCCCTGGTGGTCACACAATGGGAGCTGTGTGTACATGTTGGGATGTCAGGCAGGAGGCCAGACCATTGTTAGGTGTTTCAGTGGGAAAGCGCAAACTTTAAAGCTTGAACCCCCTTCTGTAAGTGATTTGATGCAAAGGTTTTCACACACAATTTACTCCCATAACCTCAACCCACTGAACGTATCTTCAGGACTAATAACAGCACACAGTAGATTATGCACCGACATGTTTTTTCACCACACAATGACGCTATCTGTGTTGAATAGGCAGTCCATGAACAATGGCCTCTTTGCTACCGTCCTGACTCTGCCACAGTGGGTGCTACTCAGAATGGAGGCCACACACAGGCTTGATAATTGGCTGACCTACCGATTAGTCTGGCATCACACATCTTTGCCCTCAAGCCTTTTATCAGGTCGCAATTGTTTGAAGCCACCGAATCATCCTAACCCTTTGCATCTTTCTGTTTGCAGGATTTACTTTTTTGCTTTTACTTTTTTTAGTTTTTTGTTTTTTGCTTTGTTGATTTGTTTCATTCCAAATGAGCCACAACCATCACTAAACAGACAAAAGCCACATTTCTTTTAATTTTAGAAAATCTTTATATTAGAACGTTTCAGTTTTTTTATTTTTTATTTTCCAATTGATCCACTGGCCCTTTGAATGTGACTGTCCAGTGTTGTACTGCTGTGGTGAGGGATGTCAGTGGGAACACATGAGGAGATGAAGGTCGAAGAGACGCAGTAAGCAGTTTTTAATTCCTCGCACATGCTCCGCTCAGATAGTTATCCTCCAAAGCTCCCGCCGTACATCGCTCCTAGTGCTTCCTCTTTGATCTGCATTCTTCCTTTTCCCCACCGAGTGAAGCAGCAGAGCTTTCGCTGCCCAGCTTCAACAGCTCAGACATGAAGGCATTCTGACTCTGTCTGTGGTGTTCATTTGTTCATCATCGCTTTATTTTAAGACAGACCGATATATGCATTTTCCCGCCTCTGAATATTTGCATTTGAGTTGAAACATTATATCTGTTTTATAGTGTTATTGCTTTTGTTGGATTGTCACAATTATTGTTATTATAGTGTTAATTGTTACCGTTTGAACCAAACAAGCTTTACAACAATGTAAACAAAATGAAATGAGTATTTTTATATAGCTGACACGTAATGAAACAATGACCTGCTTTTTCTTTTGTTTTGTTTTCCTCACTAGTACTCTTCACTTACCACACTATACTAAAGGAAGACTACGTCCAAATTCACAGTATTTGTGGAGGTAAATTAATGAATCTTTGTGCAGGTTGATGCTCCGTTTTGTACAATATATGCTGTACAGATAAAGAAATTTTAAAACTACAAAAACTCTTTTAGATATACATTATTTATTTTTACCGTTTTGTAATTTAGACACTATACTGTAGCTTCAATATTGCCGGACTTACTGGAAGTGCCTATATTGGTATTATGTATCATACAGTGAATATATTTGGAGATCATAGACTTCGTCACAGACTGAACCAGTGTGGATGTTGTAATGTGAATACATTGAATTACAAAACTGCAGTTTCTGTGTTTCTTTTTGTGTTGGTTTCCTGCACCAAGCCTTTCATATTCATGGCACCTCTGGTAAAAATATTTTCAAACAAACTTTCAACAAAAAGCAGTGGGGGATTGTGTTAAATTGATTATGTGAGCTACATGTTATCTTACCATGTTGTTCCCACAGCAAAAACATCCCTGTAGTGTTACTTTGATTCTTTCATGCATGTTGGAGGAATTCCCAGTGGCAGCCATTCAGGGATGCCTAAATGCTTGCTCTCAGAAAGCCTATTCCCATAAAGCTCCTCCAGACTAGTGGTAGCAGTAGTTAACAAACACCTGGTGGGTCTGTGAGTCTGCTGAGCTCATCACATGAGCCACTTCTCTGTCCAATGCTCCTGAGAACGGTTGTAAACGGCATAATGAGAAGCATCGTTGTGATGATGGGCCGATGGTGGAGTGTCTGAAAGAGTAGGAGTTTCCTAAGGAGACAGAGGAGCAATTTCAAGGTGTCAAATTATAAACTCAGCTCTCTTGGAAGCTGACTAAATATTTGATATTTAGAGCATTTTTAGAACAACTGAGGGTAACATAGTTATTTGTGTACTCACGATACTGCCCCTTTAAACTAATTCATCATTAGAGGAAAAACACAATCACTGGTGCCACATCATTGGCACCCCAGCAGCTACGACTTCGGCCTCTTTTGCCACCAGGACAATATTTGTCTGTTAGCCTTTCATATATAGGGCCTTCCTAGATATACATACAGAGGCATTAGAGAGAGACACACCTCTGACCATTCTTCTTGGCTGGTGATGAATGTCTGGGTATTGCCTTATGCTTGCTTCCTTTCTGCTTTATGTCTGGTAAATGAGCTGGCCCTGGGAAAGATTTTGCTATTTAGTCTGCTGGGAAAGTTCAGCATTTCTTTGGAAACATGTTCAGGGATCATTATCCTATTGATCGACCAAATTTTAACTCTTTTGGCATAGGTCATCATATTGTTTTATAATCTCTTTGCATTTCAATTTGTCCCTAACCCTTTACATATTGTAAAGCCGTAATATGGCTTTACATATGCTTTGCTACACTTAACAGTGAGCATGAGGCAGTGCACCTATCCTTTGATTCATCCCAGACTCATCTGGTCTGTTTGTTGTTAAAAAGCCTTTCATTAACTTTATGGTTTCAACACGAGTCTTAATAGCATTTATCAAATTCTGTGACCTCATATCTATGACGATATGACAGCAGTGTTGTCAAATAATAACTTGGCATGTAGAGAGCACCTAAGAGTAATTGTGAAGTCTTTGTGAGCATAATTGACTTGCTTGTCTCAGTTCTACAGCAGTGAGCATTAGAAAAGTTTACCTTCCCAATCCATCCTCTAGTTTTGGTTTATTTTGCAACATAATCTTCTATCCTGTTCCAGGCTTGATTTTTCCAGTTCTACTTTCTTACATGGCCCTACTTCAATGTCTTTTAACTTCCTGATTTTGAAGATCTTCATTTCAATCAGACAGGGCGTTAAAAAAGTTATTCACCCCACTTGAATTGTTGTCAGATTACAACCTTCAAAAGCCACTATGTTTGCAAAACATATAAGCTTTTCATTCTACTTTTTAAATGCAAAAAATGTGGTATAGAATTGCACTCAGCCTCCTTTATTCTAAAATCCCCTTAATTAAAATTTTGCAACCACTTGCCATCACAAGCCACTTAATTAGTTAACGTAGGGACACACCAGGAAATGAGAGCAAAAGTTAAAGAGCCAGCCAAGACTGCCATGGTAACTCTGGAAAAGCTGCAGCGACTCACAACTCCAGAGGGAGAATCTGTTACCAGGATGACTGTTAGTCGAGCACTTCACACATCTGGCCTTTTTTTAAGAGTGGCAGCGAAAAACTACTGGTGAAAGAATCCCAAATGCAGTCGCATCTGCAGCTTACCAAATGCCATTTAGGGAGCACAGGAAACTAACACCTTACTTCACCCTGAGCTCAGCATCCCTGCTGTGAAAGCTGGTGGTGGCAGAATGATACTCCGGAGATGACCTGCTGTCTTTGAATGGACAAACAGACTTTTTATATGAGTGTTTGGGGGGAAAAAAAGTTAAAATGATGTCTAATTTTCCCTTCAATCTCGTGTTTGTCCATCACCCAAAATCCAACTGAGATACGATGAAGTTTCAGGCTGACACTCCACCAAAGTAAAAGTAAAATGTAAATTGCAAAAAAATTTTTTACTAATACAGGCATTGAGATCCTGCCAGGAGAGACATTTAACATGTCTTCATGTGCGTTTATGTCGCTAAAATGCAATGCCCAACAATGTAATGCATTTTGATCTGTTCAGTTTCACAACCTGGACGAATTAAATTAGTACTATCCGATAATTTAGCACGTAATGATGAAACATAAAGTTATTAGTTTTTTTTGTTTTGTTTGTTTGTTTGTTTTTATAATCTTCAACAGAATCGCTGAGAGCAGCCAGTGAATGAATGAATGTCCTTTAAGAAAAATGACGCACAAGGCGGGACTCCACGTCACAACGCGCTACAGGTCTGATCAATGGGAAATCTGACCCTTCCTGGCGGGACTTACACACTGAAGAACAAACTATCGGGAGCTTATGAGAGCGCAGGAAAACCCTGGCATATGTTGTTACAATCAGCACCCCCTCCACACAAATCTTTGAAACAGCAAGTGTGCGTCACCGTGCAGGCGGCGTTCAATCCCCATCCACCGGGCACTGGCTCTGCGCGCTCCGGTCTCAGCTCCCCTGGATCTGGCAGATGATTTAAAGAGCAGTGGGGAAGTTTTTGTCTGAGAAGGGGATTTTTATTAAATCTATTACCCCCCTCTTCATTCACCCATTATTATTATTATTATTTTATTTTATTTTTTTTTTTGCCTTGCTACAGTAAATAAATTGGAGCATCTGTAAGTCGAGAGATTAGAAAACGCGACTTGGGTAAGTAGCCTGGTCTGATTTATGAATTGAATATTAGCTTTCCTTGTGCGGTTCATCTGTCTGCCACAGAGGCTGTGTGAGTGACAGACATAGTCCGTTTCAGTGCAGCATCTCCTTCAAACACTTTGCTGGTGCTGTGAACACCGTTAATCTGCAAACATGTCAGGATCTACAAAAACATGAAATCGCACCGTTTGCCTGTGACCCAAATCCATGTCATAGAAAATCATGGGCTGAAAGAGTCGGCTGAGATTTGATGCTTTTGATTTTAATTCATAATTCATTTAATATTTCATTAAAAAATTTTTTTTATTAATAATTGTATCCTCTCTCCTTTTAAGAGTAAATGAAGTGAGGTATTTTTGTCATACTTTGATCACAATGGTTTGGAGCAAACATCTCCAAATAAACGCGTTAATGTATGGAGTGCCAAAAGTGCCACGATTCTCAAGTAAATCCATCAGTGATTGTGTCAGTGTAGTTTGGTGAGCAATTTTGTTTTTAAGTCTATTGATGAGCAGTATGCAGTTAAAATGATTTCATAATTCGCTGCATCACAAAACCATGAGATAAACCCGGGCAGATGGTTTTGTGCTTTTCTGAACTGAAACTACCTAAAGAATTACTGTGTCCATGTTTGTTTGTTGTTGTTGTTGTTGTTTCTCCAAAATAAAGTCTTTCATGAGAGATATAAATATGGTAATGATGAATTTCTGAATTTCTCCTAGTTTGCCTTGGAGAATTACCTAGACTGTCAGGAAGTCATGCGCTAAATCCACATTTAAAACCTTTGCTGGTAAGGCTGGAGAATAAACATTTTTCAAGGTGTGGAGATTAATTCTGGGTGTAGGGAGTGAAAAAGTGATTGTGAGATTCTGGTCTCAGATCCTGAGTCCGAATCAAGCTGAACTGAGTCGTGACTTAAAACCTACTTCATGTTGACAGACAAGTTCTGTTCAAATGATTTCTTATTTTTACAGTTATGGCAGGAATTATGGCTGGCGGTGAGTAGCAAAGCATAACTAAGGCGTCCATCTTGTACTTTGATGACTTTTTTTTCTGCATGAATCAAATCCTCCTTTGACACCACTTTTATATTTACTCGATAATCAAACAGATTTCTATATCTGCTTGATATAGAAATTAATGTGTTGCAATGTAATATTTAAGAATAAAAAGGCAAAAATCTGCAAGAGGAGGAACTGCATTTCACAACCTCTTAAATATTTAAATTCTGTAATAAATTTGTTCTGAATCCAGAGCCTGTTTATGATTTGCTGCTCATGTCACAATGTTTATCCAGTTTGTTTGAATTATTACGCTCTTCGTATCCCAGGTGTGAGGAATAAACCTGTAGGAAGACCTGAGGCCTGAGTGCGAATCAGAGAGAAGGCGGTTGTCATGCAGAAATTGGAAAAACCAGGCACAGCTAGCTGGATGCTAGAGGACAGCCCTGCCACTTGTACAGCGAAGAACTGTCACCCAAATCTAAAGGTAATTTGTGGGAATAAATTACAAGTTACCTGATATCTAACCAACTAAAAAATATTGTTGAAAGGAAGAGTGAACTGTAATGTACAAACCTCTGGGAATGGAAAATTCATACTAATATCAAATGGCACACCCTGGCGGAGTATGTCTTCTAATTAGGTAACTTTGTTTAGTGGCTTTTATTTAGGGGTATCAGAGTAAAGGGGCTAATATATCCACACATTTTGGATTTTCCTTTCCTTTCCCTGCATGCACTACTTTGTTAGTTTTGCCACATAAAATCCCAATGAAATAGATTAAAGTTTGTGGTTGTAACAGCTCAGGATAATAAAACTTCAGATAAAAGACGGCAATTAAAGCACAAATTGAAGTCCAGTTATTGTCTTGCAGTCAGTGAAGCTACATCTGCCACAGAGTTCATTTTGCATACCACAAAAAGGTCATATGAACACATACGGAGCGCCTCAGCTTAGTGGGACACGGGGCTCCTCGTGCTCGACACTTTCAAAGACATTAAAGCAGCCTTGAACCGGAGGTGATCATGTGTTGGAAATAGCAAGAGACACACAGCAGAAAATCCTCTGGTGTGTCTGCAGAGGCTTCACCTTCGTATGCTTCAGCTCTTTTTCTGTCAGCTTTAGAATCAAAGTGCTGCTGGTGTTTATTTACTAGCAGGCGCTAGCACCGAAAATAAGTGGACTTGGCACATAATGAATTATTCATTTGTAAAACAGATTTCTCTGCAGCATTACTGCAATCTGTTTTCTATAGTAGGAGCGTCGTGGTCTTTATCCAGGAGTCAGAGAAATGAAATAGCCGAAGAGATGCTGTACTGGGAGCTCTGGTTAGTTGGAGTGGCCTGAAATCTTTCCTTTTGCACAGGATCCCTTAATAGTTCAGATTTACTACTAAGGACTTATTTTGGTGGTTTTGTTGATCTGCGCCTATGTTTATATTGACTATTAAGTGTGAATTCAGGATGCAGCAGCATTTTAACTATGAAGACTGTTCATTGGCCTGGTGCAGCTGATCTCAGCTGTTCTGTGGCCTCTCAGGTTATTCTCTGTGAAAACTTTGTGAAGTTTGAATAGAGCTCTTATTCCTCGTTATTAGATTAGAGAGTGTGTTTAACAGCCCTGACAAAGCTGCTTAGTGGAAAAAAAAAATAAAATAGAGGAATTTCAGACAAGCTGCGTTTTGTCTGGTTTTCTCCCACGGCAAGAAATACCCCAGGAGTTAACCCTTTGTGATAAAATGATTTGTAAAGCTGTGTTTTAAAAGGACGTTGTTAAGGATGTGTTTTAAAGGTCAGACCTCGTGTGTTTTACGCTCACGCTCTAAATAAAAACATAAAAGTAGTTTTCACATAGCACGACTGCAGTTTATTGTTCCCCGTGTAATGTCATCTGTCTTTGTCATTTATTTGGGGGATTTCTGCACTTTTATTTTTTACATACTTTTGAAGTTTGAACATGGAAATCCATGTAACACTGATGCACTTCAAGTTCAAAGGCAATCGAGCACGAAAATATCCCAAAATCATAAAATATGCCCTTAATACTTGAGAACATTTATTTCTGTCGGAAAAGATGTGTATCTGATTATCCATTTCTTCTAATTTCAGGATATTTTCAGCACGTTCATCAGAGTGTAGCTATAGTTACCCCCACCACCTGTTTCCAATTATTCTTACAGCTCTGAGTACAGTGGATGTGACTAAGCCTTCCTGTTACTGGGTCCACTAATCCTTCTTTTGTTACTGCCTGTCAGTGTGCGCAGGTGAAGAGCTAAAGACATGAAGAACATGATACTCTGGCCCAAGAATTATGCCAGTTTCCTTCTAACAAAGAGCCAGTTGCACTGTCCACTCATGTCACGCATGTCTTTATTTTTTTCAAGGTATTCTCTTAATAAATTTAAGGTCATGTGGAGGTGAATAATATCTCTTCTCTCTCTAGATGTTCCTTGCAGCCTTGTCCTACGCCTACTTTGCTAAGACCTTATCCGGCAGCTACATGAAAAGCACGATTACACAACTGGAGAGACGATTTGACATTCCCAGCTATCTGATCGGCGTAATAGATGGAAGCTTTGAAATTGGTGGGTTTTCTGTTCCTTTCTGCATGGTCTTCAACTGAACAGTTCAGTTTAATGTGAATGCCTTTTGTGCAAATGGATCTTGTAATTCTGTTTGAATGCCTGATCATCACAAAAATAATGACAGATTTTTGGAATGTTTGTGAATTTATGTTGCAGTCAGATGTGAGTTCAAACTTGGAGTTTCACACTGAGTAGTTACAACCCAAACCTTGGTGTATTGGTTGAGGCTACATCAATACGCCATTATTATTAATCACATAATAATTGTTATTATGCATCACAATTACTATGTCATGCATAATAACTGTGCAAATATCTTTCTACAAATAAAAGTCTGAAAGGTTTGTTGTGCACTTGCACTCACACCCCTTTCCTCAAGATTCAGAAGTACCACTTGCTTCGTCAAGTGAACAGATTTTTAATTCCTTTGTGCAGCGTATCGTCAATAGAAATCCAGCTGTTGCTTAAAGGCCTAGAGGTTTGTTAGAAAACTTTAAAAACTGCATCATAAAGTCCTGTAGAGTTGTGAAGCTCATGTAAGTTTGGTGTTTTCGGAGTGACCTCGAGTACAACTTTCCCCACCCAAAACGCACGCTGCACACAGGCCAAGCCGATCAACTTTGGTGCCATCTGATAAATGGTATTTAGATAAATAGGATTTGTTTATCTTTTGTTTTTGGTTTTATCTTACTTGTAAACTCTCTGCAGGGAATTTGTTAGTGATTGCTTTTGTGAGCTATTTTGGTGCTAAGCTCCACCGGCCCAAGATCATAGCAACTGGATGCATTTTGATGTCTCTGGGAACCTTTCTGATCGCCATGCCTCATTTCATCATTGGCCGGTGAGATGACTTCTTCAAAATTCAAAAACCTTTTGCATCTAAAGTTGTTGCATATGTGCATATTTCTTTCATCATAGAAATGTATCCACATTTTTAAAAATTGCTTCACGTAGCTAGCCACTGAGTGGATTTAAATTGCGAGAGTCTAACTGTACCTGATGCTTTCTCCCTCCCCTTGTTTAACAGTTTTGGCATTGGTATTTTATACGCAGCTATAAGATTGAAACAACCATCAGAGCTTCAGAGAATTCAACCAGCCAGCTCTCTCCATGTCCAGAAAGCCCATCGGAGTCATCCAGGGCAGGTGATAGGCCCTCTTCACTGCCCTCTGAAGGTAAGATATGGAAGTTCAGTCCTCCCATCCCCCAAAAAACACATCTTTATATCAATTCCTTTTGTAAATTGGTGCAGTCACAACAATTAACTTTATGAAAAGTATATTCATAAAGTGTGCAGTGTGTATTACTTTGTGAGCTTTAATGGTACACAACTTTGCATAAACTTTGGACTTAATAAACTAGCATCAGTAGACGACAAGGCTCCCCAAGTCATCGCTGACCGTGGAAACTTCACACTGGACTTCAAGCAAACTTCAAAGTCCCAAATTCATGTTGAATCTGGGACTTTGATTTACAAAAGAAATGCAACATTTGTTTCATCTGAAGACAGAGTTCGGATCACTAAGCATTACTCCAGTCCTTTTTCTCCTTGGCCCACATGAAACACATCTAACATCGTCTTGGGTTCAGCTGTCGAATGTGACAGATGCATCCCATGAGATGAGAACATGGGATGCATGTCCCATGTTCTTGTAGCTTGTCTGAGGGAAAGCTACTCCTGCCACAACCTGCACCTCGTTAATCTCGCCTTTAAAAGGCAATCCACTCAACGGTGCATTCGTTGCTGTTTCTAACACAATTTTACCTTCCTCTAAACTTTTCATTGGTAGAGCATTTCATGAACAACAATGATCTTTCCTTGCTTTCCCTTTCTGTGGAGGTTGTCAGTGACTATCTGCTGGAAAGCTGTCCAATCAGCAGCCTTCCCTTCGATTGTGTAAGACAGAACAAAACAAAGCATCTCTCCACTAAAAATCATTATTTTACCAGTTGGACATCATATTAACTTTTCAGAGAAATTGAATCTTAGGTTTTCATTATCAGTAAGGCATGATCTTCAAAATTTAACATAATTATATGTTTGAATCATCCGTGTAATGACACTAATGATATGTAAGTTTCACTTTTTGTACTGAATTAGTGGAGGAACTTTTTTGTATTTTTTATTTTTTTTATTCCTTGTGAACTGCAGGATGCGAGCAAGAGTCCAGCATTTCCATGTGGATGTATGTGTTGCTGGGAAATGTTCTGCGTGGAATTGGAGAGACTCCTGTGCAGCCTTTAGGAATATCCTACATTGATGACTATGCACAGTCGGAAAATGCTGCGCTATATATAGGTAATTTAGATTAATTCACAACCATTTAGAATAAAAAAAAGAGATTTATGTCATTCTTTTGGTGCTTGGTATCTGCTATCAAAGTAATGTCTCTAAGATATCCTAATATAGGATATCTTACATTTGCATTTTTGTGCACGTTCTTATAGGTATTAGTGACATGAAGTGGAGTTTAGTTGCTCATATTTTACATGTTTAGTGTGTATTACTTCTTACATGTTTTCCAAGATAGCCACCCCGACTCTTACATTGACTAAAAACATCAGTTTTAATATTGGTCAGTCATGCTTATGCATTTAATACATTAAAGGATAAAAAAAAAACAGATAACTGTCGTGACACTGACACCATGTAGCTGAGACTAAATGTTTTCTGTTTATCACAGGTTGCGTCCAAACTATTGCAATTATTGGTCCTGTATTTGGTTTCTTGCTCGGGTCTCTGTGTGCCAAGATTTATGTTGATGTCGGCTACGTAGACGTGGGTGAGTAAAGCTGAACTCCAGCTGAGGAGACATGCTGTTGGGTAATTCTCTGCTGGTTTAGCCTCTGGAAAATTATGTTCGATTTGTAAATTATTTGTTGTCTGTTATAGTTTCTTCGGGCATTCTGCCAGCAGAAAATCAAACTGGACAAATTTATGTGCCTTGTTGAAGTATTCACAACCCTGACACTTATAAAATTCATTGCATTATTGTCAGAGATATTGATGTACTTTATTGGGATGTATTGATACTTTGTTGAGTTTTACAAATAAAAGTATACAAAATTAAATTAAAAATTAAACTAAAGCCCAGTCCAGAAGTCCTTTAGTTAATGAAGAACTCCACCTGTGTGTCATACAGTCTCTATATGAATGCTACTGTCCTGCAGAAGTTTGTTACCGAACTTTGGTGAACAAACAGCCTCATGAAGAAATACTATCAGGGTTTCTTCCACCACTAAATTATGGACTTATTTGAATTTGTCCATCTTCTAAGATCCCAATAAAAAAAATAATAGTTTGTGGGTGTAACCAGACAAAATGTGATCAAGCTCTGATCAAGAAGCAAAAAATTTTTTTAAAGCTCTTGTCAAACTGCATTTTACTTGTATATAAGGATTTATGAACATGTGGCAGAGGAGCATTAAAGTCAGTTTTGTGAAAGTGACAAACGTCTGATTAATTCATGAACATGGGAATAAATTGCACCACAAAACAGGATGTTGACTGTGTGCTTCTCTTTTCACAGAAACAATCACCATCACCCCAGAAGACGCCCGCTGGGTAGGAGCCTGGTGGCTGGGCTACCTTGTGGCCGGCACTGTCACGCTCCTGTCCGCCGTTCCTTTCTGGTTCCTGCCCAAGTCTTTGCCAATACCTGTGGATAAACATGATAGTATCTGTACTCCAGAACAGACCAGGTTTATCAAAGATGCAGATTCGCCAACCCTGGACCACAAGATCAGACCTGAGGAACCAACCAATTTACATGTTATGGCCAACGGTACAACAAACCTCAGAGTTCTGCTGTGACATACATGTTTATATGTTTTTTTAACCTTCACATCACAGACTGCCATGTATTCTGCTGAGATTTCATTTGACAGACAGCAGCGAACAAAAAAGGTTTGTAATTTTTTAGACAAAAGCATCACTGCCTTCAGTGTTTGAAGTCTCCCAAGAGTCAATGCTTCTATTGCCGCTACTACTCCAAGTTATTTGGGGGAATCTGTGCAAGCTGAGCACAAATAGAGATGGAAATATTTTCTCATCTTTGGAAAATAGCTCAAGTTCAGTGAGGTTGGACGGAGCAGTAATTTTCCAGTTGGTTTTCAATTGGATTGAGGTCTGGACTTTGAGTGGACCATTCTAACCCATGAATATAAGCTAAACCGTACTATTGTAACTCCGGCTGTTGGGTGTCTTCCTTCTGATGTGCAGTCTTAGTTTTCTTCCACCCTCAGGAGTTTGTCTATGGACTACAAAGTTTAATTTTGGGTCAAAACTTTTTATTTTTGGCACGTGAGTACTTTTGACTAGATCATTTTGACCACATCACATACATTACTAGTACAATAAAATACGACGTTTGCGGTTGCAGTGTGACAAATTTGAAAGGTTACGTTGTGAATTCATTGTTTTACAAGGGGATATTTTATGGATGTAGACAGATTTGTATCTTTGTGCTCTCACTGGAGTATTTAGAGTTGTATTGCCTCTTTAAACAGAGGCATTATCTTCTGCCCTTCAGGGCAAATCTTTGGTCAGTTGCAAGTCTGAGCTCATTTCACTACATTTAGTAACTTATTAAGAAAGATTTATTAATTATTACCTTTTTTAATGTTTAATTTGACATGCAAACAATGACATTAATTAATTTAAACTTTCCTTTGCAGAATTTGTGCCAACATTGAAGCTACTTCTTGGAAATCCTGTGTACATCCTCTACCTGGGTGTAACAATAATTCAGTTCAACTCACTTATTGGCATGGTGACCTACAAACCAAAGTACATTGAGCAGCACTATGGCCAGTCGGCATCAAAAGCCAATTTTCTTATGGGTAAGTAAATTTAGACATTTTTAATTATATATATATATATTTTAAATTATGAAGCTGAAGGCTTTCGTAGAGATTGTGATGTCGTACCTAAGGTCTGATGGAAGTTATATGTCCTCTGTTTTTTTTTTCCAGTCGGGTATCTTTTGATAAATTTGTATAATCCAACCTCTACCTATGTTTGAAGTAGGTGCTGCAGCTTTGCAGTGCGACATTTAGCACAATTCTTGGTATTCTGTTGTTAGCAATAAACGCCACAGATTAATTAGACCATTTAAATGATCAATATATTGCAGCTGGAGACAGTGTAAAAACATAGCTCTCATTCGTCACCGCAGAGTTCATGGCTGGGAGATTCATAAGTTCTGTGTGAAATGCATACATCTTCTCAACCCTCAGAAGACAATTTGATGTCTTTCATGAATGGCTGCTTCTGTATTTAAATGAAATATGTGTGAGACTGATGTAATATTTCTTATTTTGATGCCTGCCTGGATGGGACGTTTCTGCACATGCTGCTTATATCCACCAAATTGCTATAATTTCCTTTTGTGTTGTATTTATATTCTTTGTTTTGTATTTAATTTGTATTTTTTTGTATTCTTTTGTGTATGCTTACTGTGTGCCACATTTTTGCCTGTGAGCTGCTGGTAACTATAATTTCCTGAGGGAGTCTTCCCAAGGGATCAATAAAGTCAAGTCTAAGTCTAAGTCTCTAAGTCTACATAACGTCTGTCCAAATTCTCTCTCCCTTTAAGAACGAGTTGTTTTCTTTGATTGGCTAGGCATGATCAACATCCCAGCTGTGGCCCTTGGGATGTTTTCTGGCGGCGTCGTCATGAAGAAGTACAAACTTGGCGTAATGGGAGCAGCTAAATTTGCCTTTGGGACTTCCCTGTTGGGGTTCTTTCTGTCATTCCTATTCTTAGCCATGGGCTGTGAGAACGCGAAGGTGGCTGGCATCACAGTTTCATACACTGGGTATGTAACAGTTAGATACATTCTTGATGAATGCAAGCTTAGTGGTTTTAAGTGAATGTTTTCAAGCTCTCCTTATACCTGGTGAGCTATTCAACTGTCCAGGTTAAGTGACTAAGGCCTATTTTGCTTCCAAGTGCCAAATGTAAAGCAAGGTTTACAGTATGGTTGCTGTTGCCTTAAAGGGAGCCTAATGAAAGCAGAGGCAGGTGGGAACGTTGTTTGACTGAATTTTCCCGTAATGCATTTCCAAAGGCGATGTAGACGTGACCTTCTGGAATGTGTTTTCTTTTTGCTTTTTGTTTGGACTGGTTTTGTTCCTGAGACAGAAGTGTTAGCTGGACAAACCTTAACTTTATCCCTGACATTCTTGAATAGCTTTAGCAAATCCACTGCGAGAATGTTCACACAAAATAATCTGTTTAGAGAGACTTGGTCGGTATTTTGAGAAAGTCTTACACCAATAACCAACATGATTTCACATTTTATAGACTTTTGGGTTGTAGACTCTTTGTTTTTATAAATGTTTCTTTGTTGTGTCATGCCTACAATCATTTGCAGCATATTGCATGCTGTTGTAATTGAACAAGTCAGGTCTTTTGATCAGACAGTTTGATAGCCTCAGGATTTTCTTGTGCAAAGAGTTTTCCTAAGAGTTCTGCAGGGTTCGGTAAAACATATTTTTTTCTCTGGTCAAGTGAAGTTAAAAATACTAAGTAGCTTAGCAAATGCTTAGTATACATTGGGAGGAACATGATTCACATCCAGGTCTACCCAAGAAGTCAGAATAAATTAAGTATTTCAATTGTAAATGTGTCGTACAGCATAAGGACGTATTAATAGAGCTTTTCTTGGCATTAATTTGGGTTCTTATTAGACCTGTGCAGGTATTTGGAGACACATTTTGTCCTTATGAAACAAGATGTGCATAACATATTTTCAACAGTTATGACAATCGAAGAAGGAAAACGCATACATCAAAAAGCATAAATCGTGTTTTGTACCAGAACACTTGAGTTTCCTCCCGTTCAAACTAGAAGAGAATTTAAGTTTCTGTCTAAATTCCTAAATGAAATGCACAATGATATGTATGTTTGCTGTTGTTGTCATTCACAGAGTGGAAGACTTGTCTTATCAGGAACAGTCTTTGTTTTCTGACTGTAATTCCGGTTGCTTGTGCTCAACAAAGGAGTGGGACCCAGTGTGTGGAGAGAATGGGATCACCTACATATCTCCTTGTTTAGCTGGATGCACGTCGTCCTCAGGCTCTGGAAGAAACATGGTTGGACAAATAGCATGTCACTGCTTTCTGAGCATTTCCGTACTATCACCTTTCACTACGTTATATAATGTGCCACCTCTCACCTTTTAACTGATTTTTATGAATCGATTGTTTCTCCTGCTGACAGGTTTTTGACAACTGCAGGTGTGTGTCAGTGACTAATGTCCAGCCAGGAAATACAACGGCTAGTTTAGGCCAGTGTTCACCCGGACGCAGTTGTGACAGAGTGTTTCCGTACTTCCTGGCTCTGTCTGTCCTCAGTTCCTTCATCATCTCTCTCGGGGGTACGCCGGGCCTCGTGCTTCTCGTCAGGCACGTAATAAATGACACACATCATGAAAAATTGTTTCAATGCGATTAAATAAAAATAACGAAGGATTTAGTTATGTGCTTACAGGTGCATAAAGCCTGAGTTGAAATCCCTCGCTCTTGGCATCCACACACTGGCCACACGCACCCTGGGTAAGAGCTTTTTATTGACGCGTCTAAGGCTTCTAAGCATTACTTAGCATGAAATGAACTGGTGATATAATCTTAGACCTTAGTTGATGACAGTGATATTTCAATTTGATAATATCACAGAAGACTCATGTCTAACGAGGAAAGCTTAATCTACTGGCGCATCCTGACATTAGCTTTGAACTGTAACCTCATTAGTAGCAGATGGATAAACTAAGTTTTCTTTATCTTGCACAACAGCAGGAATACCCGCTCCCATCTACTTTGGTGCCATAATAGACACAACCTGTCTCAAATGGGCATACAGAACCTGTGGAGGAAAAGGTGCTTGTAGAATATACAACACTTCATCTTACAGGTAACGTGAACACGAAATGCTCTGAAACCTTTAGGGCCTCTTACGACCGCCCAGTAGTTTCCAGGAACTGAAGAACAGTTTAAGGTTAGCGATTTGTTGCGAATTTAGAAGACTTTACATCAGGGTTTGTCTAAGTGTGGGGCATGCCAGAGCACCTCATGAATGTAGAAACTTACTTTTCCTGCCCGTTTTGGAGGCGATATTCTTCAGCAGAGAGTGAACTCTGATTAGTGTGGTAGGGAGGGAGCAAAGACACATATGACTGGATTTTTTTTAATTGTCACACTCTGTAAGCTCCACATGGATTTTAATTACGGCCCAAACTGTTTGTTTCTAATTAAGAAAATTCTGAAAGGGCTTTAATCCCACCTTGTCTTTATTCTGAGCCCTATCAGCTGCGAGAGGACGACCGACGTGTCTTTAATTAAAATGCATTGGACTGAAGGCTTCTTGAAAATATGAATACAAAAGTGTGAATTTTAACAATGACTTTCCCCTCAGGGATTTGAAGCCTGACTTAGACATGCACCAAAGACTGCGGAGCAATCTGTCTTATAACAATATTGTTTTTAATACAGGATAGTGTACCTGGGCCTCACACTTGGTCTGAGGGCGGTCTCCTTCTTCCTTTGCATTTGGGGATTTGCTCTTCTCAGAAGACATATTAAAAGGGAGGAGAAGGAGGCTCTGAGCAACCAAAATGGTGAACTGGAGTCGCTGAGGAAAGAAGAGAACAGCTCCATGCACTGTGAGCAATTTATACTGAGCCCCGACTGCAATCCCGACAGAGAGACTCGTTTGTAATCTTCTACGCATCATCCTCCCTTCTGACTCTTGATGCCCCACACGCGTGTTGAGACGTATCGCAGACCAGACAGGTATATATATTTGTACATGATTTGTGCAGAAATGTGTTATCTGAAACATTTAGAGAAAAAAACAAATAAACAAGCGTTTTAAGTTTGGTTTTAGTCCTCAATACAGTTGTGCTGGATTTTCTGTAGAAATCTTTGCTTTTATTTTCAGCCAGGTTGTGATGTCATCTTGTTTACCAGAATAAGAAACCTGTTGTCACACCCTGCTTTGTCAATGTTGTGTTCATGCATTTGCTCATCTGTACATTTGCATTATTTCTTCGGTATTCATTGGGACAACATCTTTAAATCTCTATAGGCAGAGCTTAAATGTAAGTTCTCTGCAAAGAAAAATAATCGCTGTTTGTCCTGAATATGTTGATTCTAGCATTGCCTTGCATACCTTTTACTGTACGTTTACAGTTTAAGCATTCTAATTAATATGTTACTTTTAAGCAAATGATGCAATGATAAGGCTCTTTGCCGCAAAAACCTACCTCATTTTTCTGGTTGTACTGTGTTGTGTGTGGAGTCCATGTAGCCACCGCTGTGCCTCATTTTGTTTTAAATTAGAATTTCGCTTTACTCAGCTCTTAAGTTTCACTGTCTTTTTTGGATCATGGAGTTTAGTCAACACCTATTCCTCAATGGGTGAAACAGGTATTGCATATGTCACCATTTAATGACATGAAACAGCCGCCAGATATCAATGACAATCCCAAAAGTCAACAGAAATAATTTCATGGATTAAGTTTTGTGTGCTTCAGTGGAATAACACAGGAAATAAATATTATTTAAAAACATTGTTTCGTTAAATCCACTTAGCGGGGCTGTCAACATTAATCGATCCTTTAATATATGGACGTTGCTATATTTAGATATATTTATATTTTTGGACAGCTGCCCTCCCTCACATTTACAATGAAATATTGCTTCCTCCAGCGCCGTTTCTATTGCTTTGCAGAAGGATCCGTTCCACTCAATTGAGAATACTCTACACTGAAACTCCACTCCCGGTTTTGCTGGTTACCTACAAGAAACAACAGAAAAGCATTTCTGAATTATTTTAAAAGTGACAGTGTCTTAAAAGTGTCTTTTTCTATACAGGAGACGTTGCGTTACAAAGTATCTACTCTGGAGTCTTTTGGTCTTTTTTGGGGCATTATTGCACGTCTTCTAGTAGTACATCTTGAATCTGTGGACCTCGTATGCTATTAAAAAAATCATAATCAGTAATAAACTCTCAAAGCATTTTTCCAGCCGGTTTTAAGATGAACTAAGAAGTTTTTGCATATGTGTTGAAATGTTACCGTGCCAGCAAATCAAAATGGACAAAAATGGACTTTTATTCATTCAATATAGTGCATAATTTTTTTTTTACATAACAATCTTCTCCAGAAGAAGCTAAACCTGAAGAGATTTGTGACAAAGACAGCTGTTGCTGCGTCATCTCGTCTGTGGGAGGGGCGGAGGTCAACCCAGGTCTCATCACAGCTGCGTGATTACTGATCTTTTTTGTCCTCAGGCCTCTGGAGGTTCTGTGGATCGAGAACAGTGTTTTCAACAAAATATGGCGGCAGTGAGTGAGGTGGAAATGTTCTGTGATTTGGGCTGCGTGCGGCGAACCTGCAGCAGATGGTGCTCCCTTAGTAGTCGGTCATATTCATGTGTCAGACCTTTGGCCTGCCTTTTCATGGCTTCAACTTCAGCGTCAGACCTTCGCACAGCTGGACACAAAAGCAGTCCATCGTTTCTAAAGAGTCATAAAAATATCTGCCACAGCTGTTAGAGATGACTTAAGGCAGAAGCCAGTGGGCGTCGAGAAGACCTTCAGTTTTCATCCAGCTTAATGAAGTTATGCTTGTTGTCTTGTTTGGAAAGAGTCTTGTTTAGTAAGAGTCATTTTTAACTTGCTCTGATAGTTTTAGATAAAAATGTAGGAAAACGAATATTTCTTGAAGAAAATTTGGGTTTGATGTTTTTACTTTAACACTGATTGTTCATTGAACTGTATTGGATGTAATTATTTGTGTTTTTTGTTATCGGCCACAAAACATACAAAAATACAACCTTAACAGGTAATTAGGAAAAACTGAAGTTTTGATTGTGTTTAGATTTTTTTTAATTACTTTAATTTAAACAAATTAAAGCAATGACTACTCACCTTCCTCTGCAACCTTTAATTGACTTTGAAGCTTTTCAATCTCCCTCTTCAGTTGATTATTGGTTATCAGCATAGATTGTTCTCTTTCCAGGAGAGCCTAAGCAAACATGATCATCCTTAGTTAACAAATTACTATTTTTCATTTTTTTCATTTTTACATTGGATAAGAGAATGCATTATCTTATAACTACAGCCATCTTTTACCTAATTTTTTTTTCAGTTTAAATGTCAGAATTTGAACAAAAAAATAGTTTGTATGTCTGATTACAGCAATTAAATCAGATCTTCTAATCAGTTTCTGAGAAGTTGAAATACTTTCATGTTCTTCATATTCTACTTGAGTGAAAAGTATATTGATGCAGTGCTACTCCTATTGGAAAAGTTTTTGGATACTCTACCCACCTCTGCAAAAACATCATCAGCTATAAAAAAAAAAAAGATCTTGGTTCAGTTGTACATGACAGAGTTTTTCTGCAAAACTTTTGATCAGAACAAGAAATGCATGCAAGATATAGATTTGTTTTAAGGTTTCTATCAGTGCAGAAATATAAATCATTAATTCTCACTGTTTTGAGAATCTGGTTGTCCTCCTGGTGCTTCTCAGCAGTTTTAAATGCATTATCCATCTGTGCCTGAAGACCTGCAGAGTTTACCGAAGTCTCAGCAATCTGGTTTAGCAGAGTGACAATCCGGCGCATGACACTGCAGAGCAGAAAGGCAAATTGACTGCATGTTATCCAGACAAAGCAGGACCTCAGGATGCCGTTTGTTTGGCTCTGCACTCACAGCCAGAGAAAGAGAGAGAAGCCACAGATGTAAAGGTTCCTCTGGGCCCTGAATAGCTTCATGTGGACGTGGTCGTACAGGTTTGGGTTGGCGTGGGCATCATGCGTGGGCTCGGGGCCAGAGTACTTCTGCACCTCTCGGATGGCGTCTGAGGTAAGGGTTGGAAAGCAGACGTGACAGGTTGAGCAGGAGTTCGTACTGACGTCGCTTAGTCATGCAAAGCTTTTCACATTTTGCAACTGAAAATGTTTACCTGCAACTGAAAATGTTTTATGAAACACAGGAACATAAAGTATCCTGTTCATCCTTGTTCAATAGTTCAGACTCACTCAGCATGAATTGAGTTTATAAAAGTTCATTTTCAGCTCCAGACACATGCTGTCAGTTGGATATACTGTGGTTGTGGACTTTGACTGGGCCATTCAATCTTATTGTTGTCCTGGAGTTTATATGGTTGGGTTTAGCTAGAATATACCATAATGTCTTTACACCCTGAATTTATCACCCTGCTTTCAGATTGCCCACAACTTTATCTCTGGTCTTTCTGCTGGTCTTCATAATGTTGTTTTTTCACTAAACCTCACAGGTCTTCACAGAACAGCTGCATTAATTTTTCAATTGATTTGGAAATATTGACATTGCATTCAAGTTGAAGGCAGTCCTGTGGTAGGAACTGAAAATTGTGGGATTTTTTATTCTGTTGGTAATAAAAGCTATGATCAAAACAAGCCAATATTTATGTATTTCACTTCATTTCAGACATTCAAGCAGTGATTAAACTAAACATCCTGCAGTACTATAGAACAGACTGTCATAAATACAATCACCAAGTCATAAGCCTCCTATTTCAGGACGCATTCAATGTTTTTCTGATTCAGAAACCAGTTACAATCCTGCTTCAGAATTTAGTTCCACTTTATTTTGGTGTGTCAAATATACGTGAGAAAAGATGAATGAAATAAGCTAAGCTTTGTGCCATAAGCTCACAAAATATGAGAAAATTCAAGGAATGTGAGCACTCTCTGTCAGCCGAGTCCTTACCACAAAAAAGAACAACAAGGGCCATTATCATCGCAAAGAAGAACTTGTTCCAGTATGGAGATAACCAGCTCCAGATTCTCCAGTTGAAAACTAAATGCCATCTGCACAGAAGGTACAAAACGTGTTTCTTTAATGTCAGACAGTAGAAGTATTTATCAAAACAATAAAGATGCAATCAACTGGAGAATTAATAGACCTGTACTGTTTACACGTCGACTCAAAAGTGTAGATTTGCACAGTCTGATCTGCACAAGCCTAAAATTACAATTAAAGTGTTGATCTAATGTTAACGTAGCATGTTCTGGTACCTCTGTGCTGATATAAAGGGGATGCACAGGATGAGGTTGAACACTATCTCTGCATACAGGAAGAAGGCCACCGCCGTCCACTGGAGAGTCATTGCAACGTTTCTGTGGAGAATAAACGGCCAGAAAATTAGACAAATCTATGATCATCTTCTGTGTGGCTCCCCGGTAAAGAGTTTAAAGATGAAACATGGCCCCCTTCAACTGACCTGAGCCCAGTTGTAAACAGTATAGTTAAATCTAAGCTACTTTTTCCTGCTATATTAAACTACATCTGTGTGTTACTTTCTCAGCCACCCTGATTCTGTTTCCAATCAACTCGCGGACGATCGTACCTGTCACTTTGTCCTGAAACTCAAAATCCTGTCTCACTCCTCTGAGCAGCACTTTGAAGGTTTTCAGAGGAACGGCAGCAAACAGAGCTGGTTACTTACCAGGCAAAGGTTTAAGGTTTAAGCTGGAAAGTTCTGGAGAGTCCCCACACGCTGGTGCTTATCCACATGCTCTCACACAGAGTCACAACAGCTGCTGGGGAACGTCACAACAGCCAAGGCCTGAAATAAAAACTCTGTAGCTGACCTCCTTCGTCATTCCCCTTGGACTCAGTGAAAGATCAGAGCGTGAAAACCCGTCTGAAATCTTTGTGGTGGGCTACAGAAACACTGAGAGTTTTCTTTTGGTTTGAGACTCCGTCTCTCCCTGTGTGAAAGAGAATATGTTTGCCGGGTGTGATCTCATGTTACACGTTGCTTCGCAAAAATAACCAAGTGTGGACGGCTGATTCGAAATAGATTCAAGCTGCTTGTTGTTCTTCCGTTCTATTCAAATTTGTGTTATTTGCTTGTACAATTTAGGAGAACATGGTTCTTTCAAGAAATACAGTCTTGAAAACAATCAGAACTTAATTTTTTCCTCCTTGGAAAACACCTCAGCATTACAAATAATAATAAAAAAGTTGATAAAACTTTACTCTCTTCATAAAAACTTCATTTATTTTGTATAAATCGAGCACTGTGATTCTCAGATCGCATTGAACAGAAATATACTTTATTTCTGTTTGTGAAATTTTTTAGAATAGAACAAAAATGCACTTTAGTGTCCCACAGAGGGAAAGTTCAGGTGCAATGGATCAAAGTCCACACAAAGACAAAACATGTTACATTTTTTTAAAAAGTAAAAAATTTTAGAATATCATACTATGTAGATCACAGTATAAAGATACCATGTTAGAAATACCATTTTCCAATGTGCAACTGTGTAGGATAACTTTTTAAAAATATACATGATGTGCATGTGTATCTGTGCAAACCATCAGAGTGTGTGAAATATTTGAAAAAAATGAAATTTTGCAGAAAAAGAGTTATCAATGTGAGTAAAAGTCTGCAAATAACTGTAGAAATAAGTTATTTGCCTTTCTGAAGCCTTTCTGCTTTCAGAAAGGGTTAAAAAAACTGTGAACTTTACTTAATTTTTGCTCTTTTTTTAGAGAAAATTATCCGTGGAAAGCGGATTGAGGTATAATCATATGCTAGTATTTTTATGTACAAATACTTTCTTTGTACTCTCTAAAAGAAACTCCAAATAACAAAAATATCTGAAGACATTCAGCAACTTCATCGCTGTGCTCAGGTCTTGTTTTAAGGTTTTTTCATTCAAAAAAATTCTAGCTGTAGATTCTGTAGATTTCCGCATCTGTTTATCAACATTCCTATCAGGAAATGCCTCCAATATCCAGTAGGGGGCAATGTTACCTCTTGGACAAACATACACGTCCAACAGGTAACGTATTTGAAATCAAAAAATCCTTTTTGAATGATTACAGTCAATTTTTAACACAGGTAATCATTTCAATAATTCTTTAGTCAAAAACACTTAAAAGTAATTTATGCCACAAAAATATTGCCAGTTTAAAAATAATTACATTTAGCATTCAGCATCATTTCTTGGATGAGTATTGCCTTTTCTTGCCGCTTAGCTCCAGAAACAATTCTTTCTATTCTCTCCTCTCCAATATTTTAGCTCACAAACTGTAATCACACGGGCTTCCTCTGTGAAAAAGCTTCATGACTGCGATAGTCTTTGGCTTCTGGCTGAGGAGCGCTCAGCTGCAAACTGTTTACAGCTGCACCCTGTCACAGCTTTGTAGGAATGGATGAGCATCTCTGACACAACGTGAGATGCGGCGCTTGTCTCTGCGCTGCTTTAGAGGCCACTGATTTGCTTCTGCACAGAGAGGTAGCCATGATGGTTTTCTCCAAGGACCACCTGTGTGGACCTACCAGTGCACATCACTTACTGAGCTGGTTGTGTAGTGAGAAAAGGTAAAAAAAAAAAAATTTAAATGATCTCACTGCCATACACAGTGACATATTGTACCATGATGTCTGTCTCCAGGGATATTTCCTAAAGCGTAGCAGCAGAGTTCAGGGTACTGTACCCTAACTTACGTCAAGGGAAGGTTTGCATTAAACAAGCATAATCTCAGAAAATCTAAGCGTAATTTTAAATCCCAGTTTCCTTTAAAGGGTATCAGCATTGATCTGGTCTGGCAGCCTAAAGCTTAAAACAGGTGGTGCCATTCTTATTTGCAACAGTTTCCAACAAGCTTTTGCAATAACGAGTGAGGCGAGAAACTCTTCTTTGTGAAAAGATTTTTATTTCATCCGTAATGACAATTTTTCAAAAATGAATGACAAGTTTGAGGTTATGCCTCAACACCTCTATTGGATTTGTCCTTTAAAACTAGGATGTTCATAAAATGAGTCCTAAAAATGGCTTCAGTAATTTCTAAAACTATTAATATCTTCTGTTTTCTGGCCTAACAATCTCCGTTGTTGTAGAAAACAATCGCTCAGAGTTAGCATGCGTCAGGGTGAACCTCCATGTTGACAATTGGCATTGCAGGTGAATATACAGATTGTTTGATTAACAGCAGTAGCAAACAAAACAATCAACCTGACTGAGTGGAGCGGAGCATCCACTCTCATGAGCAACATGGTTGTTACCGCAGCTCAGAACCGTGTCAGGAGCCACGCAGCATCACTGCCCAACTGCAAGGCCTGCAGGAATTACGTGATGCAATAATTTCAACATGATCCCTGAAGGTTTTTGTGGCAGAACCTATGAAAAAAGGCACTTTTGAGAGAGCAAAGGGAGATCCCAGCCAGTAATAGTTTGACATACCTGATAAAGTGCTCAATGAACACATAAACGACCTCGCCTCTGTTTCCCTTCGGGGTAGCAGAGGGAAAACTCATTTCAGCTGCTTGTGTCCTTGATCTCACAATTTCAGCGACTGTGGATAATGGCTGGAACACAAACCCACTGGTAGAAACTCAGCGCTTTCAGGCATAGCTGAGTCATGGGTGTCCATGTACCGTTTGTGAAGTTCCTCTCAGTTCTTCTCCTCCTTATTCTTTTGTGTGTTAAAACCTTAACCCAAGCACTCCAAAGGTTGCTTTGTTTTTTAATGAGATGAGTCATTTCCCCTGAGAGCCACTTAAAAGCTGTAGTTAGCTGTTAGTAACTATTTATTGACAAAAGAAAGACCCGATTCCTTGGTTGCAATGTGGCAGAAAAAGCATCTTCCTTTCTTGCCTAGATATTAAAACCAGCTCAGCTACAGTCAGCTGGTAAAATGAAATGAGTTTGACTGCGTCAATTTAATAGATTGTAAATCTTATGACTGTCTTGACTTGTTCTTGCATAACAAAATTAATCTTAAGCACAAACCGACAAAAGTTTCCACGTGTCATTTACAGAAAAAAATGCTTTAATATGAGTGTATCTATATTTATAATGTGAAACACTTAGAACCGCCTTACTGCTGAAATGTGATATTCAAATAAACTTGATTGTTTGATACATTAAATAATTAAATTAAATAAGGGCTTGAAAACATCAATTTGTGTGTAATTAATTTATGTAATTTGCTTCGCTCAGTGAACTGAAAATAAACCTTTTAAAGGGTCTGTATATACATCGTACTGTTCATTATTGACTGTACGATGTTTTTGTTTGCTATTATTACACTTTATTACGTTATAGTGGCCCTATTATTGCTACTTTGATCACATTATTGTTGCGTATTCAGAATCATCTGTTATTTCCCTCCATAATGGCAGATTAAAGTTGTTGCAGGCTTAATATAAGCTATAAAGAGACATTCATTGTCCTGTTTATTGCGTACTATTGTATTTATTTGAAAGACCTGTGTTGAAAACGTTTAGTAGATAGTGGCCCTTCAATCTGCTGAAAAAGTTTGCATTATTTTCAGTGGTACCAAACGGTTTACTGAAAGTATTTCATAGTTTGTGCTTTAAATTCGTTTTGTGGAAATCTAACTGCGGTGCTACAAGTGACCTTTAGGGAGAACTCTTTCACTTGTGGTTTAACATTTTACTTGGCACCATGCTGTCGACTGCTGTGTGACATTTCACTGTAATTAGAACATCCATTATCATTTTATCCTGCAGAGGAATTCAATTCAATTCTGGTTTCTTCCTCCAAAGAGTGTGTGCCATGCATTGCCTTTTCTCCTGTTCTGAATTATTTGTACTTCCGCAAAAAAGCTAATCAATAGAAGCAGATTGTGCATTTCTGTCAGACACCAAAGATATGAAGAGCGAGTGTACGACACCGTGGGCCACTGATATAACATTACAGAGCCCTCTAGAGGACCTGGGGAAAAAAAGTTTTCTTTTACGTTTCCTCGCTTACTGCTTACTCCATTTGCTTGGTCTGATTGTAAATCTATTTATTCTCTGCATATTTATGTCTGCTTGTGCAAGGTTGAGATGGAACTGCACATGAAAACGTCCCTTAAACCATTCAGACTACCAACACAAAAGAGAGACACAATCAAAACTGTCAGGTGACTTAATACCCCAGAATAGTAATTCAGAAACAGATATAAAGCTTCAGATGTGTCACAACAAGATATTAATACACATGGAAAAACCTTATGAAAACCTTATCTAACAGCAGAGAGGACGATAGCCACGGTAAGAAAGGCTCACAGTTTTCAATTATTCCTCATGAACTGATCAGTACAGTATGGCGAGAAAACGCAAAAGAAAGAGAGAAAAAATCCTCCACGTCCCTTTGGGGGCTCTGCATAATGCAATATAAATTGTTGTGAAAAAAAACATTTTATTCTTGCAACTCTATGTTTCATAAACACAGCAGCTATTTTGGATATTGACCTCTAAGTATCTTTTTGACTCTCCCTGTCTAATTTACGACTTTAGCAGCCATCTTGGAATATCTATGGCAGCTTGGTTAGCTGGAGATCACATCACATAAAAGTTATATGTGTGGAAAAGGCATGTTAGAATTGTATTTAGTTTGAATGAAGTGGCAGGGAGAAACACAATAAATGCGAGTAAGCTACGAGAATAACACAGGGTGTTCTCATGCACTTTTCGCCGTCTTTGCAGCAGACAAAGATCACAAAAGCATGTTTCCTGAACTTTCTTGGCCTGGTTCTTCTAAAAGGGAACAGTCTTCTGCAAAATGACGGTTTGCGCTGCCATATCCTCTATTCTTGTTGGAGGCACAAATTGGCACTCGGGAGAAGAGAACACATTTTTCTGTTTTGCGACTTTATTTCTTCCTATTAAAATGGCTTGGAATAGTTAAAACATGAAAAAAAGTCTCTTTTGAATATGAATGCGCAGCGTGTCGCATCAGATCAAACGACAGGGATGTGTTAATAAGGTGCTATGGCGGCCCTA